AATTTCCTGTCAGCCGGAGAATGGTACGAAGACCAGAAGATACTAAACAGTTGTTTTAATTATTTTGGAACTGGCTAGCTTACATAGCAGGGATCAAGTCGAGCTTGTATTCTCTCTAATGAGGATGATAGTTTGTGGCTATTACGTGTAAATACAGTAGTTTGTATGAATGAATATATACATGCACTATAAGTATTGCTGATAGACATACTTTCCTTTATAATACTGTTTGTACAGTTTGAACTTGGAAGTAAATTGAACTCAGTTTCGATTTTGACCTACAATAGTGCTGACAATACGTCAATAACCATAAAGACACCACAACTTTATTCTAATTGGTACATATCATTTAAAATATCAACAAAGATTTAGTAATTTAATTCCATGGGAAGATAACAAAGGAAACGATTAACATAAAGTATAAAATCCGTCGTATAAATGTTGCTGCTCGTAATCTTGCTACCCAGTTGTTAAAAATCAAGTAAATGAAATGTTGACACTAAATCAAAGTCTAAGTCGTAATATGTGTAAGAATTTAGGTATAATTTGTAGATTTATCTGTCTATTCATTCAAATAAAATAGGGATTTTCAAATCTGTTTGTTCACATCGTTTATCAGTAAATGGGTAAAATATTTTAATGAGCCCTTATATGACCTTAATTAGTACCCCACTAATGAAAATATTACTTTGAAATAAAGGTATAAGATTTACAGATCACCGGTCATGTTATTTGAAGTTCGTATGTATCCAGTACATACTAGTCATCTACTACGCGTAAATAATTGTAACGATATAAAATACTAAGAATTGAGTAGAACAACACAATCCGTTGTGTGTAGTCGATGAATAAAACCTCGTTGTTATTTTTATCAGAGTTCAACTGTTTGATAACAAAGCCAACTCTACTAAAAACCTCTTTAGAACGAAACAGACAGTTTGATGAAAGTTAAGTCGGTGATTGCTTCGATTCATAATAAACTTACATTAGCCATTAACGACAAAACAATTCACTATAATAATTTGCCTACTCATTAGTAGCTAAACAGTAATTGATACATTTTCATGAACAACCTTTATGTGTAAAAGTTACTTGAAATAATCTCTATGACTGAAATTTAGATAGTCTGTTTCACTGGGCAAACCCGCCAGTGTTTCCTCAAGGGAATGATCAAAACTTTCCCGGGCGAAGCTTTGGGATTCTTAGTTTTCAATCTCTGAGACTACTTGAGTTAAAATTTTCATGTGATGTTTGCCTGCTATTCAGGGCCCAATCTTTACCAGCATTTCAATCAAATTTTGACAAATCATTCATATAAGTAACTATTTTGCTCGGATATTTTTTGTAGGTGAATATAACTTAGACCAGTTACCAACAAATTCTTCTATTAATGATACAATACAAGCATGTCCAGAATTACCTACGAATAACTTGACCAAATCTTCCAATTCTTCTGTTGACATTGTACGTACAAATCATTGTGATAGTGATATTATTCTCATTCATAATAAAGTTAGTCAACGTACTCATCAAACTAATCATTATCATCAAAAATCTCACTTAATTTTCAATGACATTGAATCTATGAACAAACCATACAATACATCATTCTATTGTCCAATAACACCAACATCCAATCATCATGGACATATACAATTATGGCAATTTTTATTAGAAGAATTACAAGATCCTGAAGCAAATGCATTTATTTCATGGACTGGTTATGAAAATGAATTCAAATTAAAAGAACCAAATCAAGTAGCACAACGATGGGGTGCTAGAAAAAATAAACCAAAAATGAATTATGAAAAATTAAGTCGTGGTTTACGATATTATTATGATAAAAAAATTATTGAAAAAGTTTCTGGAAAACGTTATGTTTATCGATTTACACGTAATTTAAATGAATTAATTAATAATCAATTTACAGAATCTGTATCATCATCAACTTCAGCCACATCATCGTCAATGACATCATCGTCTTTGGATAAAAATCAACATTTTAATAATAATTTTATGAATATGAAAACATTCAAAAGATCATTACATAAAAAGAATACATGGACAAATGAAATTTTTGAAGAGATCTAATGTTGAGTTGTTTACTTTTCCAACCAAAAACAAAGAAATAGAGATTGCATTTGTATAGTTGTGAAAAAAATAATTAGAAAAATAAAACACACCCACCTATTTGAAACTGTTCTCGTTATTTGTGAAACATTTCCTTTTGGAAAGTACCAATCAAGTACACTTATGAACACAATCATATTAGATTACAACATTCCTTAATGTTTATTCTTCAAAATATAATTTTCTCTGAAGCGAACACTATTATTATTATTATTATTATTATTATTATTATTATTATTATTATTATTATTATTATTATTATTATTATTATTATTATTATTATTATTATTGATAGTTGCTCTTCTCTTATGGACACATAGAATATGATCATTTTGACTTAATCCTTAAAATATATTGACAGAGATATTGAACTATGGAATGTAATAGCTTTGTTGTGTATATCTTTTGTACATACATTTAAATTCTCAAAAAACATGTTAAATAGATTTTCCTGGGTTTTTTTATTCTGTGTAAATGAAAAAAATCTATTCGGATCAGTTGGGATTATAACTATTCCACTAAGTCAAATACTTAATAATTAGTTTATCAGTGTGAAATTGGATTTATATATGTGTACAACATAGTTTGGTTAAGAAATAATTCGAGACTTTACTTCATTATTAGTGTTTGCAATTTCCTATATTATACAGGAATGGAATTGACCACTCTCTACTACCATGTACAGTGCCTGAGCTGATTACCTTGATATAGACTTCATTTAAAAGTTTTCGTATAGTTGGAAAGTACTATATTGGAGTCCCACTGTAAACATTAATACTAGGATGCCGTAACATCCATCTGACGAGTTCTAGTTGGAAAGAGATGCGTAGAGAATATTTGTAGCTGAGGTGGATGATTTTGATGGAGTTTTGTTCTCTGAACTGGAACAAAACTCCGTCAAAGAAATGCGTGTTATAAATTCTATCGTTAACAGTATACCAAAATATTATACACCTTTATACTTAAAACTATGGACAGATCATTGTTGGCAAGCAAATAGATCTTCATGGTGAACGAGTTTCACTATGGTCTCTTAATAAGCATCGTTATCAAATGACCACATATATATAACCATGTATTAATACATGGGAATTAGCGTGGGGGGAAATCCGAAATCAAGATAGAATCCAAATAAACTCCCTTCAATTAATGTCCTACCAATTATACTGTCAAATTTGATCATCGATAAGGCTTCAGTCATTCTTCAATACCTGTGTGTATTATATCGAACTATTCATTATATCAGTTACTAAACCATGTCTCATCACTAATTCAGATGCCTTGAAGTTAGATTAAGGAGTGTAATTGCTAGATTATCAATACATCATTTGAATTGACTGGCACAAGAATAGACTAGTATACTTGACATTTCTGAACTACACTTTTCGGTTGAAAGATGACGACATAAATTTGCTGTCACATTTTAAATACATGAATCCTGTAACCCGGAAGTCTAAGTGTTCATGATTTTAGTGGTCAATTAATCACTTTACTGGCCCGCAACCAGATAATTTCGAGTGACAATAAAAGAATTTATTGTGTGAATTCATTTAAAAGACAAGAAATATAATTATCTATGATACTGGCATAGACTTTTAAAAATGTCTTTCGTAACTGTATAACTAACTAACTAACGAAAGTTTTAATAGATCAAGTCAATCACAAATCATCTGATTGCGTAAAAGGGATTGCAAAACATTGGTTATTAATTATTTGTCTGAAGATGAATTTAACCGACACCTAAAGAGAACTGGTGAGATCAATAAAATTAAAAGGGGATAAAGATACATAGATTAAATTAGGTAGTTGTTGCGGTATATCTTAATTAAATTAAAACTGAGTTATTCTTGTCATTATATTTTAATTCACAAGTGCGATAATCTACTCTCTTCAAGACTTAAAGTTACTAGATTCGATCATGGATGAGGTACCTGTATAACATAGGCCTGGTGACAAGTGATTTTCATTGGTTTCCCAGATAACCTCAATCTATATATTCACATACATGTAGTGTGATCGTTAGTGATTAATATCGAGATAAATTCTCAAAGTTATGGTAAAAAGTTACGATAGTTGAAGCTAAATCATACTGGAAGTGGGATAAATATCACTAATGAAAATATTGGATGTTACTTGGAATAAAATACTCACTAAGTGAACGTATTACGCTCATATGATTTTGAGATGGTGGAGAAGATTTTTAGTTCCACCAAAATCACTAAGTGAACCTTAAAATCTAGACCATTTGATTTCAATTCTCGACATGAGAACTGGAAGTTCTGGATTCACACCCGTGAAGGTTCTGAGTATGTACAGCTGAAGGGTTTCATATTATGAAGAAATATTTGTTCAGTTGCCATCAAGCTTTCAACGAATCATCAACTAATACAAGTATGCGACAAAAGCCACCTCGAAATTGAATATATTGGCAGCCAACCTAATAACAAATACATCTGAACTTCAAAAGCATACTTATATCATTTTAGCTTATAACTAAATGAAGATAGGATTCTTATATTTAGCATTAGGAACCACGCTTTCATTTAAACTGGTGATCACTTTAGAATCTGGCCAACTGAATTTATTCAACATCGAGGATTACACAATGCGATATCAGTTAATATAAGATCAATTGTTGGTATATATTACACATCAGAATAGCCATGCCAAGTCAAATCTCCAATTTGGAGTAGAAATTAGTCTCATTAAAACACTTAATGTTGTTTGTTTCAAGCTAATAATATGTTGATTAAACTGTTAAGATTTGGAAATCAATGCCATTGGTTTTGTTTGCTACTTATTTAATAATTAGTAGGTATAATTCATAATAATTTATATAGAATCCCATATAAACCCAAATCATATAATTCCTATGGTATAATGAATTTAGTATTATTTCTTTTTAGCGTAAAATAAATTACAAATTTATATCACGTATAAAATATATGTCTATATTTCCATTATTCTAGTGCATTACATTTTTAACTGTTTCAACACAAAATTTGCACACAATTAATATAAATAAGTAACAAAACCAATGTAAATTGACCAGCTAATTGTGCTTCATTTTCACACAAAATGAATTGCACAAAAGTTAATTATTAAGTCCTCAATTGTTCCAATTGGATACATAGAAATAGTGATTCATGCAGATGAGGAAAAAATTATACCACAACATTTTGAACCAAAGACAGAAATATGGAGTAATAATAATAATAATGATAGAAATATTAAAATCATTAAAATCATAAATCGTGCTTCTTATATATATATCTATGTGTATGTGTGTATGTATTGATGCGTCAGTGAAAAACTCAAATGAAATTCAAAACTGTTCTTTTTTGTAGTAGGTATATGTAAACATTGGATTTAGGTGTCAAAAACGATAGATAAATAGATAGACAGATAATTTTTGACAAAAAAAACAATCGGTTTCTTATTCTTTCTTTTTTTTACTTCAATAAATAAGAGAATATAAATGCTTGACTGTTGAATTTCAACATTGAAATTAAAATTGACAAACTCGAAAATGTTCAATTACGATAAAGGAATCAGTAAGTTATATTAGTATGTACTGAAAAAAAGAGAGTAGTATCGTTTCGTATTGAATAGTGAACAAATTCAGAAAAATAACAAGCAACTAAGTACCTGTTTTTCAGCTGTTGAATGTTTTAAAAATCTCATTAAATTGACAAACGTTTAATTCACTTAGTAGCAGTATTTATATATATTAATCGATAAAAAAATGTCCGGATGTAGAACAGGAATAAGTGTATACGGATACATAAATCGAATATGGATTATCATAATAATTATAATTGATTACGTATTAGATGGTGTGATTTGTATGCATAACATTCGACAAAATTTCGAACATGATATTAATTTAAAATTTTGTTTAGAAAATAAACCTGGTGCATTGTCAACAATTGGTAAAGATACAGCTAAACCATTTTCACCTGGATAAGTTGATTGCCAATTACGACATTTTGACTGAGCTGCATATTCATAATCACCATTTAAATAAATTGGTTTTTGACCAATCCATAAACATGGTGCACTATTTTAAAAAAAAGAAGTGAAAATTGGTAAATATATGTCTCATGTATATATAAATTTATCAATTTAATTGAATGATCTTTGTAGATATGGTTTAATATAAAGGTAACCTGGAAAAATATTAAGAAAAACTCCTAGGAGTACGAATAAAACGTTTATAGTTATGACCTTTAGGTTTCTGTGTGAAAGTGATATCAATTTAATGCACAAAGCCAAAATGAAATGGAACACATCGATCAAATTTATAGATATTAATTTTTTATAAGCAAAGAATTTAAGACTGAAATAAAATAGTTACCCTGTATTTCTGTGGTTGAAAATAGTTAATGGAATATAAATAAATCTATCGTAGCCTTTAAATAATTGTAGGATATTGTGACTCTGGTGACATTTTATCGGACATTATTCCGAAACATAGATAACCTAAATATGTTACTAGTTATTAACCTTTAAGGTGATAGTAAATTGAATATCAAAGTAGTAACCATGTGGTATTATCAGCATATACTGGCTAAATAACACAATTTACACGAAAACGTTACCTGTTCTTTGATACATTTGCACAGTATCTTTTAAGTACTGAAATCATTTTTGACAAATATCTTCAAAAGGAATGCATTACATTTGTACAGAATAGGATTTAAATATCGATTTTAATTAGGTAGTTGCTGATCAGTGATGGTGGGAATATATAAATATTTGGACTGAAAAACAACTATTTTGTTTTATAGAAGTTTAGTTTAACATATGTTATTGTCGTTACTTTCCAACTTGATAGTAATCTTTTTGGAGTTGCTGTGATCACTTACCAATTAACCTAATTTTGATTATGTACATAATGTATGACGCAAACATATTTTACTATTATCCTGTTTTTAGTACTGATTAAATAATATCGAATGATGATGCGGACTAACAATTAAGCAAACATGACAATGACCACTACTGAAATAGTGTAAACACCTTAGTCCTACAGGTGGTCAGCCATGAAACCAGTAGCTCAATGGTAACGTTTAAGAATGTAATCCTACTGCGAAAACCATTTCTTCAAGGATGCGGATACCCCTTGGTAACGATTATCAACGAATAGGTACGAAACACGTAACCAGGATTTTCTACCGACTTCCTCCAAACATCTAATATTGAATGCATTCCAAACGTATAATTCGCCCAGTAATAACAAAGTATTAGAATCCATGTTCACTAACAAAATGAAAGCACAGACGGACAGACCTTTATTTTTTGCATCTATTAGATTAGTCATCCAATCTCTTTCTCTCACTCTCTCGATTTATACCTTAATGTAAACTTTTATTTTTTTCCAATGCTATTAATATCATTAATGATTTAAGTTTCAAAATGAAATATAATCTCATAATAGTCCCCCCTTTTTGTCATTGCAGTACAAAGTTAATGTATATTTTACAATAAATAAATAAATATGTACATTAAAAAGAATTCCGTTAGTTGCTTAGATGAAACCCTTCAAAAAATATCACTATTGATACATTAATTTATTACTGACTAATTCTATTAAGAAAATAGTGAAATGACTTGACAACAATTTTTGTTCATTTTTTCCACTAAAACGTTCTACTTTTTACTCATTTCGTATCGATTAGTCATGTTCATAATGCATTAATTGTTTAAATAGATAAGTCAAATTTGGTTAGTTCTTTATTATTATTATTAATTTTCTCTCATAATGTCAACATTCATTATTGTCATCGTTTTGTTAAGATATGAGAATTTATGAAGTCTATATTGAATTATACTTCACATAAAAAATTAACTGCAGTTGAAAAGTATGAGTAAAAGCATGAAATAATACAGTGGAATTAAGTGTTGAATTACTTAGTCAATTATGCCAAAAAAACATGATATAAGTTTAATTACTATCTGGAGATATCAAGTAATTTAAATACTAAAGTGATGATAAATAGTTTGCGTAAATCAGTGTTGGTAGATTCATGTTACACTCCTATCTTCTTTTAGTCATCGTACGTGACTAATAAACAACCGTACAATATATGATGTTGTCAGAATGACCTACGATCCAATGAATACAGTTGTAATCTTTATGAATCATCCAACTGAATGACAAGTTTATGTTTAATGGTGATTAGGTTCTGATGTCCTTAGTGAGATTTATTTATTTTATTTTATTTGAACATATAAATACTGGTACAAGGGGGCACCAGATACACATGCGCCACACAAATTTCATTTGATTTGTGTGAGGGCTGTGATACTGCTTCGGTGCCCAAACCGAAGCGGGTGGTTTTCTTAGGGAACCACACCCGGAGTCTTCGACCTAAAGGTCTGATCCACAAGGCAGTGGAGCATCGTAAGGAGGTTCAGTTCCATGGTAGCCGGTGACCAACGATTGGTTCATACGCCATTTGTTCCCTCGGGGTACTGGAGCCCATGTGCACCATTGGTTTGGAATCAGAGTTTTCCAACTCCTCTAGGTGGACTCTCCGTGTCCACCGACCCGGTTAAAGAGTCGAACATTCGCTTTTCGTCCTCTCAATTTCGAAAACATTACCCCCGCTAAGAGAAGGCAGTGAGTAGGACTTCCCTGGCAGAAGCTGTATACACGTGGCCATGTGACAGCATTTCGAGAGCGAAAGCTGATTCTCCCCACTCTCGGCCGTATCAGGACATTCGGGGGCTAGTGAGAAGATGTAATGCGTAAAATCAATCGGATTGATTGTGGTGTAATCATCTACTGGTGAAATTGAATAAAGAATGTTGTATGTTGGAAACATTGACATTGAGAATGTGAATTAATGGATACTGGTTTAGTCATAAAATTGAAAAACCATGTATACGATCCCGTGTATTGTTACGTATGTTCATTTCATAATAATTCTAACCTGTAGTAAAACAGTTATTCACTGTTTTCTGATATTCATTTTTTTTTCTCAGTTCATAATGATAATAATAATCGTCAATATATATACAAAAGTTATTTATAAAACTGTTCCACTGATTAACAAATCAATCAATTAAATTCCTTTTAGTAATATGATTAATATAAATGTTTCTTTTCATAAAGGCACATAACATATAGATTGAATAACAAACAATAAAATTTTTTTCATCAAACTCTTACACAATATCATCTGTTATATCGACACCATCGAAATCCAATAATTTCGCTTGTGGTTTTGAACGTCCTTCAACAAGACTCATAAAATCATCAAAGAGAATTTCACCCTTTTAAATAGACAAAAACATAAAATAAAGTTAGGAAATAACATGTTATTTGTCACAATAGTAAACACAATTATTTCATATCAGAAAGGGGTTTTGTGGATATTATGATAATTTTAATAGTTGAGATCATGAGTCAATTGAAGCTAGATCATCATGGAATTATTAAGAATAATTATTAATTGATCTATATTAAAATAGGATGGTTAAATAACAATTGTATTACAAATCTCTATTTGGATCATTATCAGAAGAAAGAACAAATAGCCATTAATATATTAGTCAATACATTTAAGCATCAGATTCAATACAAAAGAGAAATGAGATTACAGTATCACATAATTAGGATTGATTAATTAAGTGATGATCCATCAAGGATGAGAATGGAAGTAGTCAAATGATTAATGATTAACTAATATGTTGGTGAATCAATAATAATCATGGTAACGATGAATTTGAATATTACAGATGAAGTTTATCAGTGCTTTCAATAGGTATGAGCTACCCTACATTTAATATTAATTTGCCAAATGTAAACAAACCAAATCACATAATCTGAAAAAGGATATACATTTGTGACGATTGACCATGGAGATGTTGGTATATTTTTCAGGTGTTCCTGAGCTAAAATATATTTTATATGCTTGTGATTAATATCTTAAAATTTATTATGTACTTTATTTGGAAATAGGGATAAACACAGTCATCCAGTCTTTAATATTGTATACAAATATTCTTAGAAAGTTAGAAACAATTTATATCTCAAAATGACACCAACTAAAAAATATTTTATTCCGTAAACTTCTAAGTCTAAACTCTCTATACGATATGTGACCTACACCTTGTTCTTCTAACCAATAGGTTGGTACTACTTAATAAATATATCAGAATATAGTGAGAATGAACAAATAGGCATAAAATTATTTATGTGTCCCTTTGATCTGACTAACAAATACTGATGATGAATAAAACTAGTACTCATTTATTTCAATTAAATAGTTATAAAATGAAAGTCACTACATAACCGATAAGATTTTAAAATCAGTCTTAATTAACTCACATATAAATTAACCAAAGGAACACCATATCTATATGTTGGCGGTACAACATAATCCATATTGAACATATCTGTACTGAGTAGTGGATAGAATGCTCTTCCGAGACCTTTAAGATTTGCTGCACGTTGACATGCAAAAATTGAACCAGCATGTGCACCAGTTATTCGATCATTGTATTTCAAATCACCACGTAGTGGTTTATTTTGTGCAATTAAATAAAGCTGTAAGTTATGAAAAGATTATTGAAACAAATGAATATTAGATTATAGTATCTATACCCTATTTATTATGCAGTTAATTAGATGATGGTTCGGTCTTATGATAAAGACACTACTTTTGAATTGCCAAATTTTTCGGCAGTGTTTCTGTTTTTAATGAGGCAAAATTTACCCTACTAATCTTTTAAATCAAAGGTTCTCTGTTCAAGTCTCAGTGTGAACATCAACTTTGGGATGCAGGTGCATCCAACTGACAAGTCTCATCCATGACGGAAAGCTCGTCTTGAGTTTCAATGCTGTTCACTATACAACCTTAAAAACCACAGGACTGTTTATACTTAGCTAATGATCTGGAAGTCCTGGAAATTAACCAAATGTAGTGATAATAATTAGTTCATTAGTTTGATTAAATTATAATTGTAAAGGTCAGTATGAAGTCAGCCTTTCAAAAATAAGCATATAATTTGAACAACTAAATAACATTCAACAAGCTGACTTTTTAATACCGATACCTTCCACAAAAGAAGAAAAAAGACTAAAGAAAGGAACTTGTAACTAGGCTGTATTTTTGCAGTTGAATGAATGTCCAGTCAATTTTATATTGTTATTCAAAACTGATATGTAGCCGATTCCAAAGTTAACATGATAACTTCGTTCGGACAAACGAAAATAGGATATCAGGGATCACAAATCGAATGTTGATGATATTAGGAATTATTACTATTCGTAAGATAATAATGAATGTCGAATATATATTATCATTATACAAACTGTGCAGCAATTTAAAAAGTTTCTGTTACATACCGTGAATAAGTTTTATTATTAAATACTGACAAGCAAAACATATAACTGGTAATTTTATGGCTGCTAATGGCTGTAATCAAAACGAACATTCTGGAAGTTCTGATGAGAAGCTGTTACGTGTGAACTCAGTCAAATCTAAAGTTCAACATATATTCATCATAGTGCTGGATGTTAGTCACGACATATCAAAATTTTCTTCAAGTAATAGTTTCCGTTATGTATTCTGAATATAAATTCTGTGATCCATCTTTGATATGAATTGGTAATTTTTTTCACTTACCTCTGATTTTGATTGTTTGTTCAGCTGATATCAGTCTATGGCTCGAACTAACTTCATATTGAATAAATCTTCTCTAATCACGTATCTAAATTACCTGTCGTGTGTTCCGATTAGAATATAATCTGCATATTATGTATCATATTAGGACAGTTATTAATGAAATTCGGTTTTTAAGTTTAATGATTCTTAAGTACACGCCACTATGTTAAATGTGAAATCCAGATTTTTTAACAATTAAACGAACTAATAATCAAAGTAGAATATTTATTCAAAGAAGTGATTCCGATCTGTCAGATGGTCAACAAACAGACAAACGAATCAATCTAATTACCATCGTCATTGTCCGAAACTTCTACTAATGTATTTTAACTACTGACAAGTAGCATATAATATTCCTACAATAGAATGAAAAGTTTGTTCTTGGGAGATATACTTTTAATAGTGCACTAAGAAATCGAAAGTATTTCCAGAGTACAAAACTTAACATTCATTTGATAATTCATAGTTGACACATGGCACATTTAAGAAATTTCTGTTTAGTAACAGATAAAAGCTATGAAAATAAAACTCAGCTGAGGAAGTCAATTAACACAATGGCTCTAACAGATAAACGAACTGATTAAGTGTGATAAACCAACCAATAGTTCAAATAACTATCCACAAACATATGCAAAAAGAACTTGATTATAGAAATGCTGACATACATACACTTAATTAGAAAACATAACAAGTACATTTTAATTACTTTAAATCAATTCACTAACAAATATCATTAGAAATCCTGAATTTACACAAGTCTATATGATACAGTCATTTGGTCATTTTAAGAAATAGACTATGATAAACGACAACATTATTAATATTTAAATTAGATCTATTTATCCTGTGAAATATTTAAACTTGTCACGACATTCCAAGTTTGGTTCATCTATTCTATGCAACATGATATAACAGATAACAAAGTGTCATTCTTGTCAGAATTATTAGTTATGTTTATATATTAGGTAAAATTATAGTTTTTACACTAACCAGTATATGAATTGTAACATTAATGATATAAGTTTTGATTTTTATTTCAACTTGGTTATTAAGTTAGAATACTATATTTGATATTTTGAATAGTAAGGGAAATTGTTGAGTTGGCTTTCGGAGAACTTCAACGGAGCCTCCGGAGGTCCAAAAGGAGCCAAAGAGTCTTAGCCAGTCAGAGCATGATGGAGCATTCTAGAATGCCAACTTGGCGCGCTACTATTGGTCAGTATCATAATAGATCGTTAACTGATTGGCCGAAATATGATGTTGATTTAACAAACGTTAACGTCTATAAATACCCATGTTTTCTGTACAAAAGTGACCCTTGGAGTAAAGTGTCTCTCTCATACTTTGTATCTTCTTTCTGGTGCTCAGGTCGCTGTATAGTTTTAGCGTGTGGGTTATCAGAATAGCTTAGGAACGAATATAGAGTCCAATCAGCAAGACTTAACAGAAATGTATAAAATGTACTGGTTAATTTAGTGTTTTTATTTGCTAATATTCATCAATAATACCTTGTTGGTATTTGATATTATTCAAAAAATTTGTTAATGTTTCCCAATTATCTAACATTGTAATTTGTAAAAAAATGATTTTCTTTGAAGATCATATGATTAGTTATACATGAAAGTTGTATTAACGTTCTATCTTGACCCATTCACAGATTTCATATTCATGTAATAAATTTAGGAAAAAATATATATATATGTTCCAGGGGCATCTAGTTAATGAGTTCTAGGAAGTCATAAACCGATATTCATAATCTTTAGTCGTTTCCTGCTTTAATAGTTCAATATTAAAATAATTTCTCACTCCATTTCTGCATGGTATGAATTTACATATTACAGGTGTGAACCTTTTAATCCATGGAAGTAATTTTACTAGCTTTTTTAATCAGTATCATTGATTTTCTAATTTTTTATATTTTCTTTTCATAGTTTACTAACATTTGATTGTTTTGTTCGGGTTGATTTCTGATTATAATCGACATCTAAGTTGGATAACCACTAACAACCTGAGGGCGCCAAACGGCCGTTTCGTCCTAGTGTGGGACTCCCCACTAATGCAGACACATGAAATTTCGACCGGCAATCGAACCCAGGATTTTCGGTCTAACGAGCAAACGCTTAATCTCTTGTACACCATTGCATACTGCCAGAGTAGTCTAAAGGTTAAGCATTCGTGTTTTTATTATCGGTTGAAGCACAGTGAATGCGCACTACTGAGAAGCCCATTACTTGGACGAGACAGTCATTCAGTGATCCCAGTTTTACATTGTTTATCTAATTTAGGTCGGTTTGTGATGTCAATAAAGCTCCACAATCTAAACAGCCGTATATTAATGTTTACTATTTTATTTTCTTACTTTTTGTAACGAGTAGTAGCGTTTCGAATAACTTTCGACTACACACGAAATTCAACATGAGTTGCATGAGTATCAAATTGTTTACAGTAACCGGAGCAAATTTTAGTTTACCACTAGTTATTGTATACGATTTATTATGACATTAGTTCGGACTTTAACCAATGAGAGCAAATATTGCTCATATTTATCTGACTTATATATATTTTATTTTCACGATCTGTATTTTGTTTTTTAGACTTCATAGTTTAACGTTTCTTTGTATTCTAATCCAAGGATTTAATATCATATCTCTTCCATATAACTTAATTTACCATCAGGAAAATATTTAATTAATTAATTTTTCGAGTCATAAATGTTGCCAGTTATATAGTTAGGTTTATAGCTCCATATTTTCAAAGATTTTCAAAAGAATACTACAACTTAACTTCATAATTACATTGAAGATAATAAATTGATTGTTGCCTAAAAATCATTCGTTAGTACATATAAAAGTTAACAACACATGGAAGTAGACTGATGAAATAGTTTATCTACAAGATATAGTTGGATTTTTAGCTTAACTTCTATTAATATAACCCTTTCGCCATTTGATTGACTGGTTTATAGAAATTAATTATATTTGAAAATAATTATCATTATAGTAATCTATAAGTATCATGTTCGCTGTTAGACAACAAAGCGTCACAAATTCCATCCATTGTGTGAGTCATGGATTAACACTGATGAATAATTCGACACTAGAACGAAACAACTAACCAACAGTTCCGAACTTTAAACAGTTTTCATCTATGACAAAAACTGTTCTCACATTTAATAAATCTATAATCACTGATCTCCCCTATGTCACTATTATATCCCGATGAGAATAATCAAAGGTAACTGTTGGAATCTATTTCTGGACTAATAGTATACATATATTTTTATTGTATAATTGTTAAATAACTAACCTATTCATATTCGTGTTCCTCTTATCATAAGCATTATTTTGACTCATACACTATTATTATACGATTTACCATTCTTGAGTTATGCCAGTCTATAAATTACTGTCTCCCACACTCACAGTCACTTTTGGCTAAACCTTGTACAGATGTTATTTTCTACTTTATGGTACGATGTGGTCTGTTTGGTATGTATATAAACCAAGTATGTTTGAAGTACATGATTCATATCGCAGAGGGAGATTAACGTTCTGGAATTTACAGGAGGGGCGGATCGATAGAGACTCTAGACTGCTCGTACGGGTTTATGCATCATTGGTTCGGTCGATAAATCACTGTTCTTTATCAGAATGGGTTTTGTGGAGAGTTTTAGAAATTCCACAGGTTGAAATCATGAGTCAGTTGAAGCGGTGTCATTACGTTATATATTAGTAGGACATAAGGTCGCAAGTTAAAAAAAGGCACCTTCTCTGAAACACATTTATGAAACTCACCTTTTTCCCTTTATGAACTGGATAATATTGTGGTTCAAATACAGGAGCTGGTGTCTAAATACAACAATTAAAAATAAACACAAATAAAAGTGATGAGCAATTAATGTTCACTTTCAATGTAAAAAGTGAATTTAATTATATTGCAGTGGTTTAATTCATAACCAGATGTAACAAAGCTATAATGATATGTAACTATTATAAAACAGTATAATTCAATTAAAGTATGGGATGGTTGTTTATCTAGCTGATTTTTAAGTCCCCACCCATTTGCTAATCTCCAATGAAGTTACCATGAATGGTTCTTGACAGTGGACAAAAATTTCATATTGACTACGGATTCTTTTTAAAAAAAAATAGTAAAACAGTACTACTATGGTAGATTGAAATATTTCCTTAAATGTCCTAGTCCACTGTTTACTAACATATGTATATTGTAGAATAGGTTAATGAATTATTAAAATAGATCTTTAATAATTATGATAGTGAACTCATTAAATCATTTATTTCATAAAAAAATTGAACAAGGCAGTTAACGTCATTGTAACGTTTCTGTAGCTATTAAATTTAAAAGAAATGCCGATTGTAACTTTAACGACATTATCATCGTGATATTTAATAAATATAATTATGAGCTTCACATGAAATCCTTCGTACTGACTTGTCAGAATATTATTAATGCTATTTGTCAAGACTATGAATACGGTAGTTTACTTGGTAAAGGATAGCGGAACAAAGATTGATATTATTTGATCCAGGGAAGAGAAGTAAAACTGCATATGAAGAATTTATAATGTATTAAACAGAAATGTCCAAATGATCAACAAAACTTCAAATTCTATAATGAAATAGATATCGTATTTTGTTTAACAATCCTAAATTCACATGCTTTGAATGATGTACTTTACCCTTAACCTGACCATTTTTCGGATTATTAATTTGGATATATAATTGTAGAACCTGAAGGGAATTTATCGAAAAAAATATTCTTCGTTCAAATATTAGTCTTTAAATAGATATGTCATTTTGAATATTCGGTCAATAATTAGATTTGGCTACATTGAATTGGCAGTAATTGATGTTCAGTAATCAACAATTTGATGTACGTATAAAAATGACAATATAAATAAATTAATTAAGTTACATTAAAGACATAACTAATCACCAAATCACTTATTTATTTAATTCTTGTCACCTTTATTCATAGCGTTGTTTTTATGATTTAACATTTCCTGATATCGATTTACAGAATCAAACTGACTGACTAATATAAGTTAGGATATTCAACTCACATCACAGAAAATATAATTTTAATCAAATCATGTTTAGCAAACGATTAGACATCCATACTAAACTATAGTCCAGTTACTTCTAAAGTGAATAACATCGAAAAGGGCGTTTTCGTTTGTTTTTTTCACATTTTATACTTCCCTTTTAAACTCATTACTTTTCATTGCACGTTCACTTCTAGATAAGATTCTGACCTTAAAAACCTCAGCTTCGCTAACCAAACCTTTTTTCATACTTTTTGCTGAAACAAGGTGCTCTACTGCAGTGTCTGATTCAGAATTAACTATCCAGAACTACAATCTCTATCTCTGTAATAGAGAAACTAAACGTTGGAGTGGCTTTTGATTCTCTGACAACAAATAAAGTTGAAGACGGTATCTTGAGTAGTTTGCTTGAATTGGTCTAGATGTCAGTCAACACTCTGAATCACAGCCTACTCCTGGAATGTATATACAGAGCTCCTGACAATTCGGATAATGTGAGTGATCTTATTACTGATGCGTCTGTTATAAACTTCAATACGAAGGTTATTATAAGAGATTTCAATTACCTTGGAATAAACTAGAATACCAGTGGTGGTCAGTCATGCAATCATGAAGCCTTAGCAACAATTAAAATTCACTACTGGTCCCGATGGGTTCGTACCCCGACAAGGCATGATAGTATACTTGATCTAATATCCTGTAGATATACCATCCCACTATCTATACAAGTATATAGTGAATTTGAAATCGGTGACCATAAAATAGTAGTTGATGCTCTCCGTATGTGTCCCTCTTATAACCGTCCCATACAAAAAGCTGATCAATACATAACCTGCCACTTTGACTTCTTTGATTTAGTCATTACTCAAAGCGGCCGAGGGTATCTAGTCTTAGCGCTATGCTTTTATATTTCTAAGGCCTTCAACATGGTTAATTATCAGCATCTTATGGTCAGACTCTCATCTTACGGGATCAAAAATCCTCTACTTGCTTGGTTCAATTCTTTACTTGGTCACCGACACCAAATGGTCAAAATTAACTCCTCCTCATCGGACGATGTCCCGGTCAAAAGTGGTGTAATACAAGGTAGTGTCTTAGGTTCTATGCATTTTTTAGTTTATATAAATGATATTTGAGATTGCTTCTGTATGGGTAAGTCTTTTTTATATGCAGATGGTTTTACAGTGGTGTATTCGTTTTCTCCTCATAAGCTGAACAATATGCAAAATTTTATCAGTATGTAGCTCAACAAGGTAGCACAGTAGTGCTCAAAATGGCAGTAAGAGCTTAACACGGCTGAATTTTGATGGATATGCTTCGTTACTACTTCATTCAACTTAGATCTTACTATAGGTGGTAAGGTGTTATCTAAGCTACATACGAAAATGGACTAAGGATTTAGGTACGTCTGCAATTTGTCCTTCACAGAATAGATATCGAAATAGAACTTCAAGTCCCAACGTCTTATGAGTTGCTACCTAAACAACTTTTGAACTAGAACACATTAAACAATCTAATATCTCACTTGTCTTCTATATTTAAGATTACTATCTATATCAAGCTCATCATGCCTATAAACTGGCATGAATTCTGTAGTTTTTATTTTCAGAATTTGTTATTATTATTATTGTTGTCAGAACGGGGGATTCCGTTCCTTTTCTACTTTAAAAATAATAAATCAATGTACATTGGTTAGTATCAAATTGTCCACTAAGTGACACTATTTCAAGTATACTAAAATAATGATTCATCGGTTAATCAAGAAGTTTCAGATGACTTGATGTTAATTCTTTAAAATGATAAATTGAAAATAGGAATTTTAACATTTAAACTAATCAATGTGATCTCTCACCTACACAGAATTTTAGTTACAATAATGCACATTTAATACAAATTACATTCAAATTCAATAAACTATTTTTTTGTTAAGCTGACTTATTTATTATAAAAAAATAAAACAATAAAAGATTCAGACAGTTTCTTATTGATAAACGGAATACACCTATTAAGACGTTAAATAAGAAAGATTAGTTCAGCGAAGAGTTCTCTTTTCGGCGAATTCATTTTCAAAGCTGTACAATCGCAAATACATATACTTATTTTAACTGGATGATAATAATACTGATAATAAACTTGTTATACATGGTGATAGTGAGGTTAAATAAACAAAGGTATTAAACATTTTTTTTAAACAAGGAAAGTTTAATAATCGTTTGATTGTTAATGGTGTTAGCATTGATCAGAAAGATAGATAGGGAAATTATCATTGGGAAAGGTTGGCTCAGCGTGATAAAATAAAGTGTTGAAACAGAGATGAAATGTAATCGGTTGGTTGACAAATGAAAACTTAGTAACAGTGGATTGACTTTTTAATTATGTTCTTGAATTTCTATTAAATGAATCAACATATTAAAACTAAAATTGGAATGTATTCATCTTAATATTCATTTAAATAAGATTTCGTTCCATAATAGCCTCAACTAACAAATGTGAGCAACGAACCAATTAGATCTAAGATAGCCACTCCTTGATTTTTATGAGAAGTTCAAATGTAATGTTAGTTAACTGATATCTTATGATGTGTCTAGTAAAATTAACTTTTATCCACTTCTTAAGGCACTTAAAATAGATAATCATAAGTCTTTTGTGCAGCCGTATAATATAAGATGGTGTCAAACTATAGCTACAAAAAACACTTGAACCTTCTGATCCAGATCGTAACTGGAATGTAAATTACTTGTTGAGTATAGTTCGTATGATATAAAGTGTAGTCAAGAGAGTTTATGGTGTATCTTAAGATTCTCCATATAGGCTGACTTCACTAATACAAATAACTGGTACTGAGGCGAGTAAACTAATGTCTAACCTGTGAAATCTCACTAATCGCTTTAAGATCATCTATCCATCGTAATTTTATTAGCATTCTATCTAAATCCCATCATAACCAACCGTCTTTTTTTATTTATTGAATACATATAAAAAGTGGTACGAAATTAATATATCCCACACAAACTAAATGAAATTGTGAAGAGATAGAGAAACAAGGATAGTCGAAAGCAGAAAAGTGAATAAAAATGAGTTCACAAGGGTAATATAGATAGGAACAACAGTTCAGATGAAATACAGTCAAAGAGAATTCTTTCAGATAATTGAGTTTCTGTCATTTTTAAAATTTAGAATTTAAAAACATACAGTAAGACCACTATTATCTACTGTTTTGAGCCATATCTAATAACGTCCCAAGCCGCTGAGCTGGATCATTTGAAGGATCCCAGCAAACGTTCTGTGATGGACTGACAAAGAGCAGCCCTATACTGCTCTCCTTAATACCACAGCCATATCATAAACTGACCATGTCTCTTTTTTAAACCCTTCCTAAACTCGGAAATTAATATTGAGGTCTTTAAGATGAAATTTTTTGAAATAGGTACAAACCGAGGAAATTTGTGTTTTAAGATTATTAATTAATTAATTAATGGCTTTATTCAGTATTATAGTTTTGGTACAATATAGAACTCTCAGCACAGGTTATTTCAACAAGTTACTTACACAACAACAAAAAGAAACACAGTAACGAATACACAAAAAATGAAAAAGCGGTTTTTTTTTAAAAAAAAGAAAAGAAAAAGAAACCGAAAAACTGTACAACTTTTAAAATTAAGGACATGTTAAGAATGCAAGTTATTGACTAGGTTAACTCTAACAACCTCTTCGTCACAAAGTATATTTGCTAGGTAAGGTATTATAGAACTTTTATACTTTTGCTTGCGTGCATGGATTTTAATGTAATTACGTCTCATTCTACCAGAAGATATACAAGGAGAAAGATAAGAGTGAAAGGGATGGCTAGTATTTGATAAAATAACACCTGCCAGGAGTTTGAATGATTTTAGATGTCTATCCACAACCATATTAATTATGACCTCGAAAGATTCACCACACATCAAGATAATGAAACTAGTCGAATTATCACCACTGAGCCCGACCGCACAACGTCATACCTCAGCATTACTAACATGATGTTGCTGTTGAATATTAATAATCCTTCGGAGTTAATGTTCATCAAACATAGACAGTCGCCACACATCGTCAACTCAGAGACAAACATAGTGCAGAACTGCTCTCAGAGTTGTGAATTCAGTCTTTTGCACCCAGGCTAACATCACTACAGCACTAAAGAGTCCATAAGAAATTCAGGCTTTCAGTATACGTAAATTGATTTCATCAGTCAGGGCAAAGTCAACGCTCAAAAGACTTTTCAGACACATGAACTTTTGGTTACTTTCGATAGCTCGTTACAAAGAGAGAGTGTAGGTATAGGTATTTAAAAGGTGCACAGTACATGACATCTCAACGAACATTGATTCCCAACCAATTGTGCGGGATTTGCTTAGTTTGAGTGTCATCACACAACAAAGCAATAGCATACACATTCTCGGGATTAGAAAATCTACCCTCATCTAACAGATCTGCGCGACCATTACCTACTTCCTTTATTCCTGTTTTAGGAATTTCATCGATAGTAAAATTGAAGAGAAATGTTAAGATTGGACTACTCTACTTAAAACAACTTTTGGAATTATACAATGGAGAGAGGTATGAACTAATCTTTGTATGATTTCTGAACTGGTAACAAGACTTAAATCAAGCATATCATATAATTAGTTGATATTAACTAATAAGCGCGTCTGTTTGAACTAGTAATATCCAAGATACTATATCATGCAAACTAATTTAATTTAGATGATTAACACTCGTTGCTTAGGTTACAAAACTTTCCAGACTTTACTATCATATTTTTTATTTGAATTGGTAAAGGATTACCATTTGCTGAAATGTAATTCTTTAGTTTCAGCAAAAGAAAAATAATCACACATTATGAAGTCAGATTTAACTCAATCACTTATTTGCTGTCACCTTATGTTAACACCGTCCCCAGCAAGTTTAACTAATTTGAATAACATCAACAGTATATCACTGTCACATGACACATGCATTTTGGTAGACCTGATTGATATATTTTGGTAATTACTGCTTTGTTGTTTCGTGTTCTCTGCTTTCGTTTTAATTTCTCTAGTTGTAGATAATTATCATTAATTCGATCTGGCACACGAAATGACCTTACTTACTCCATTCATAAATCAACAGGCTATCCATTTAAGAAATATTAAAAACTTCCGGCTGATGCATTGAATCGCTGTAATACATGTACTACCTAAACAATTACTGAACTAGTATACTTAAAACTTTCTTCTATCACATGTTTGTTCTGTACATCTAATGTTCCTTTTTATATCAAATTGATCATGCCTATAAACTGGCGTGAATTCTGTTATTATTATTTTCAGAATATATAAATTATTATGAAATATAATATTCATCGATAACTTACTGGTTTTGGAATTGGTAAATTAATTGCATCTGCTTTCGACAGCTAGAAAAGAGAATATTAAAATGAAAAAGCCATACAAATACATGTTTTTATTGTTAAAATTTGATTCAATTTATTCAGTGAGAATAACATTTAAGGAATGGAGCAAAACAAGACTATAAAAGCTTTTTCATTTTTATTTATCCAACATAGACTAAACCACGTTTATTATCTGGGATTATTTAACTAACTTTTTTATACCCTCTTAAGATAACGAATAAATGTTAATCTTTCATAGCTGCTCTAAAGCAATCATGCATAAAGAAGCACAATGGCTTAAATTTTGAGTAGATCGATGATCATCAGTTACAAGTAATTGAAACGGTAAGAGATGTTACCAATGCTTTGAGATTCTAATCAGGCATACATTATTATTTTTGTGGATAAGAAGTGTATTAACAGTGAATTATATTGGAAGCTTATATTTTCTTACTGCAAAAATATATGTTTTTTGATATTTGTGTACAGTCCTAAATGTAAATTATCTTTTAACTCATAAATTGTTGAAACATCTCTTATTGTTCATTAATTATGACCAACTAATTAAAAATTTGTTACTAAGTTTCATGTAAAGAAATGTACAATTAATTGATCTCTGAGTAGTGACCTATATCATGTTTGTCTGGTTCATTGATGCTGACTGAATCCTATTGATCTGGTTGTAAACACTTCATTATTACAAAGGAGTTCAGACGTGGCTCAAATGGCTCGTCGGCAATTTCTACAACCGTAAAGATAAATAACCCAGGTTTAAATCTTACAATAAACACCAGCTCCCTCAAGGTTCCAGGTTTATCTTGATAACGGGTACCAATCAGCATGGAATATGGGTCGAGCATAGTATCTTTGACTATTTTCAACCTACTCATACCTGTTACTCCCAGTGGAGCGTAGGCCACCGACCAACATTCTCCAACTCACTCTACCCCGGGTCTTCCTTCCTAGTCCTATTCAATATTTGTTCATTCTTCTCATGTCTGTCTCCATTTCTTGGCGTAATGTGTTCTTTGGTCTTCCTCACCTCCTTTGGCCTTGAAGATTCCAGGCGAGGGCTTGCCTTGTGACGCACTTGGGTGCTTTCGTCAATGTGTGTCCCATCCACTTCCAGCGCTTCTTCCTGATTTCTTCTCCCGTTGGAATCTGGTTTGTTCTCCCTCACAGTAGGTTGTTGCTGATAGTTCTGGCCAACGGATCAAAAATATTTTGTTCAGACAACTGTAATAAACACTTGTATCTTCTGGATGATGGTTTTCGTAGTTTTCCAAGTTTCCGTCCCATACAGTAGAACTGTCTTGACATTTGTACTGAAAATTCTGACTTTGGTGTTGGTTGAAAGTTGTTTCGAGTTCCAGATGTTCTTCAATTGATTTGCCGATTCGCACCTTCACATCTGCACCAGGTTTACTGTGTTCACCAATGATGCTGATAAGATATGTAAAGGCTTTTACATCCTCCAAAGCTTCGCCGTCAAGTGTGATTTGATTTGTGTTGTATCAGCAAATCTTGCTATTCACTTTGTGTATGTACTACCTTCAACCATCTAATATATAAAGTGATTACTCTGTACAGAGCTATAACACATTTTTCTGAGTTGTGATCCAAAATGATAAACGTACTTTTGAATAGTCTCCTGGCTTTTTGGCATTTTATCTGGAAATTCAGCTACTTGATGTATTGACTACACTGTCAGATTAGGTATTTTTCATAGAATCGGTAAATGAAAATCAAATGGTCTTTGTAGATTAACACATATCCTTATCAATACTACTTAAGTTTAAAATTTATCAAGAGCTAATAATTAAAGTAAGGTGTATCGATAAGTAATTATTCAAAGTTATTGAGAAGTTAATACATTCATTGAAATCATAGTATATTAACTTTTTCCTTAGGCCGGTTTTGTAACTCAGTAAATAATATTGTTATAAGATTCTACCAGTTTTCAATCAAACAATCAAAATAACCACTATGTTAAAACCTAAATTAGTATGACTAAGATTGAAGAGACAAGTAGTAGTCCGTTAGCTAATAAATAAATTTGGACAACCAATTAGGTAGCGTTCATAAGGTTATCTATTGGGCGTTTGATAAAAATAATTTTATGCCAAATTCAGTCAGAACGAAGTATAATGCAAAGATAATTTTAAAAAAAATATTCACTCAATATGTTCCTTCCATAAATACTTATATAGTACTTAAAATTATAGTGGATAGTAGTACTGATGAGATTTACTGATATAATATGATAACAACAACATACATAAATAGTTAAGGAAGTAATAAAACAATAGACTGATTAACAGATGACATATTTTCAATTAGATGAAAAGAATAATTTTCTCAATAAACATTATCATTATCCCAACTACAATATTATGAAATTGTAATTTATAAGAAAATTCAAAGAATCACACAAGTATCAATGTTGAGGTTGGACTTGTTAATTTCAAATAAATTAAGTATTTGACTGAAAGTTATTAATAAATGCATTCCTGTTATATTTACTCTGAAGACGTGGCTTATATTAAGTTACGAAACATCAGAAATACAACTTTCTTACTCATTGGGATATAACCAAAATATGCTTATTATTATATAAATGATTGTTCAAAGCACAGACTACTTAATGTTGAAACTGAGTGGTGGAATTGTTAGACTGTTTCTTTTTTGTTTTGTTTTCAGACATTCAAGTGATTAGTACAATTCATATTTCTTTATTTTTATATCATTAATAAAACTTGGAATGAATTGTTAAATTACAGTAATTAATGGGTTTTATAAGTAATAATAGTAATAATTAACATTCTTACAGTTTAAAATGTATACACCTAAATTTTCAAATCAAATAAATAAACTTGCCAAATTTATTATACGCCATGTATTAGTTTGTTCTATTGTTTTTAAGTAGAATGTATCCGCTTCTTTAATATAAGCCATTGTACCAACAGGAAAAGTATGTGATACTTTGCTTAAATCCATTTCAGTATTCAAGACCATTGCCTTTTTATCATGAAAATGTAAATAAAAATAGATTGTTGAATAGTAATAATGATTATTATGATTATTAAAATGATATAAGATAATTTATTTTCTAGAAAATTAAAAGTATACCCATAAATAAATAAACAATTGTCATTCCTTTATCTATACAGGTAACCTTCTCAATGCTTCGGATAAGAAACTATTGATTGTATTCATTACCGAATCTAATGAAAAGGTAGTTTTATCAACAATTTAGGTAAAACAATGTTGTCGTGTAAGTATTCTGTGTTCGACATCAAGTGAGACAATCAGAGATAATATTGTTAAACTATTCAACTTGCAACTAAGTAATTTTAAGGTCAAGATAACAAAAATAGTCGATAAACTTCGTAATATAATTATTAAGAGACAATTTTAATATGTAACAATAATTAGAAACTGTCTAGATTTCATCTGTCAACAGTACCACTGGAAATGTCACCGCTACGAGTTATGAATGATAGCTTCTCAGGCATGAACATAGTATAATCTGGAGAAGATAATCATCAGACTAACTTACTGTTCAGTATATCAATGTAAGGAAGACAAATTAACAAGATTAAAAGAATGTTGAAATAATATTGATAATAATACTGGGAAACTGAACATAGAGAATATAATTCAAACGAAATGTTATGTGCATCTATTCCAACGCTTTCAGCCTGATTTATTTTTAGGCGAGGAATGTAATATGACAGGATCAAAAGAATAAAATCCAGTATGAAAATCGATCAGTGTGATGGTACTAATATGTTAATTTGACCGCTCGACCCATCGTTTACATTGTAGCCTTCAATCTAAAATATTCATCTTCCTAACAGTTTTATCACCTATGAAGACAAGTTTCAGAAAGATTTAACCATTTACCTTTGTTTTAAATGCACAGATTTTGCAGACAATCAGTACCATGGATTTAACTTTCAGTTGTGGTCAATTCCAGCAGTTCTTACATTTCAGTATAATTTCTGTAGATTTTTGAATAACGTTATAAATAAACAATTTTTGTAATTTATCTGATGGCAACTATTGAATTTTAAGTAAAGATCACTTCAGATGATATTTTGATGAATAATTCTTTTAATTTTTCATTGTTATTGTTACTTTACAATACAAAGATTTAGAATGTGAAACATTTTATTCTGTTCAATCTACATAGTTGATCTTTTATTGAAGTATATATTTTATCACGAAAATTCAATTAATAGAAAACTTGCTTATTTCCTATTTTAGGCAGTAGATGTTTTATTAACATACCTAACGTACAATGTTGTATAACTAATTATCAATTCATCAATATCTGTCCTAAATTATTCATAAGAATTTACCAATTCTAGTTGACGAACAAAAATTTCAAGCGATCAAGCACGATTCATTACTCAATCAATTGAACATTGTGTCATTCACCAACTGATTGACAGCTAATTTCTTTTTATGTTATTCATATTTTATATTAATTCTATTTAGCATTGTTATACACGCATATTTTAGTGTAAATACCAAAGATAATTATCCGTATTTAATGAATGAAAGTATTCTCAAGAATAATTATAAATAAATAAAATCAATAAAATAAACTATAACTTACACCATAACCTGAAATTTCACCATTATTATTACTATTAGTATTATGATTATTTTTTGAACTATTTAATTCATTATTTGAATATTTTTTCGGTGAAGAATTATCTGCTGCATCACTTAAACATGAACATTCACCTGGATCACCTTTTGGACCACGAAATTGTTTTTGAATTTCCTTTTTGAAAAGAACAAAGAAAGAAAGACAATCCAATAGTGAAAGTGGTAACATGAAGAGATAAATAAAATAAAGAAATAACAGGAAAATTATGAGTTATAAGTCATATGTTTATTTGGGCAATCTACTTAAAAATGCATATATGGTAATGAAAACTAATTAATTGCAGTTTTGGATATCAACATTGCAGAGGGTAATTACGGACTTTCATTAGTATTGGATGTATTAGTGGATATCTGGACTTAGTATCTCAAAGGATAATGCAATGAGTTTTTGAGTCGAAAAATACTGTGTCCAAGTCTGAGTGTGAATATCAACGTTATTAATTTTAAACAGAATTTTAAAAGTTTCATGGGTTCCGCTACTGGCCTTATACCACATATATCATAGAATTTTGGTTGTCAGGTTTTGTAAACACATATACAAAAGAGTTATAAATATTATTTAGTAATGATCTGATTACAACACAAACCGTAATATGAGCTTTTGGATTTCAAATTACCGGTTTATTGATTTAGTGCCTATTATGAAAACTTAGGGTCCTAAGTTCGAACCAAGGTTTGATAGTGGGGAGAATTACGGGGGAACGAAACGGTAGTCTAGTGCTTCCTAGTTTTCACTGTGGTTTACCAATCGATGACAGGTTGTGATGAAAACCATTTCAAATGCGTTTCTCCAAACTACCTATCCACCTAGGGGAGTTGGAAAATCCTTATTCCAAACCAGTGTTGTACATGGGCTCCAGAATCCTGAGAGGACAAATAGCATATGAACCTATTGTTGGTCACCGGATACCATAGAACTTCATCTCCTAACGTTGTTCTACTGACTTGTGGATTAGACCTCTAAGTCAAAGTCTCGGGGAGTGGCGACCTAAGTAAACCACCTCCTACAGTTTGAATGCCTAGGCAGTATCCCAGCCTTCATAAAAATCAAATGATGAAGTGTGGCACATATATACTAGATATCTCTTTGTACCGATATTTATGTGTTTGAGTAAATAAATAAGATCACCATTGAAAACCTGGAAGGACTGGACACTAACGACTAGCTTTAAGATGTAGCTGCTGGAGTTTTAGTGAAAAGCCGGACGAGACGTTGGAATTATTTAAATTTCAATCGCTGAGATTATTTTAAATATAATTTTCACATATAATAACGGTTATTATTGTTTTTAGGTTAAGAGCAGCTGAAGAGAACTTAAGAAATAGACTAGTTCACATTATTCTGCCACAATCATTGTTTTTACTTTATTTAAATTTGTGAGTTCCAAAACCCATATGAGATTTATTTTCCAGTTTTTTCGTAGAAGACATGTCCTGGAACAAGATATTTCACTTTAAGCTAGACATTTTAACGTGAGTTCACTAAATCATATCAATATATTTGATGATTAAACTTGTACTTTGACCATACTGCGTTGTATAGATTGGTTAAATGAACATTTATGGATTTCATTGTAAAGTGCTGAGACGATAAATTGACCGAATATCATATATCTTTCTCATTTGTACATAAATATTAGTTTGTAAATTGCAAGAATCAAAACGGTCAGGCAGATAGAAACATTTTAGAGTGACTTTATTTTCACAATTATCATAGTTGATATCAGTATAATTGTATGAAACATCACATATTAACATGTTCAGATTTAAACGGTAAACAGTTGCTTACTTGTGTCAAACTTTACATATATATATTTAAAGAGTATCAATAAATAATCATTAGGTTAATTGTTAGAAGGATTCACCTTTAAAAATAAACTTCAAATGCTTGTTCAATGATACATAACTATCAGACAACCAACTGACTAATTTGTAGTCAGTCTATGTACGCATATGTGTTATAACTTGTCGTTTGAATGCTTATTGTCTTGGCTCTTTTAATGCTTGTTTTATATCTGATCATCGCTGATTGTTATGTCGGAAACGCTTATCACTTATTCTCGGAACGAGGGACCTCTGCAATTCCCACAATGCGAAAGTAAGAACACAAAGACTGATATAAGTGGTGATTTATTAACCCAAAAACACGACGACGAAAAACGACTCTAGTAGAAAATACACTCATCTATATATTGATTGCACACTCCTTTTTGGTTAATAATTAGAATGTAATTCACATATTTGAAAAATACTTAGAGTTATAACAAATCAAATACTGAGCATAGTTCATGTCAATGAAATACAAGAATATCGCATATTATACAGAATAAAATATCATACGAGAAAAGAAAACAAATAATACATTGAATAATCATTACATTGAATCAAAACGGAAGTAATCTTGAACAAAAACTCCTAATGAGTGAATCAATCGAAAATTGGCCTTTCTTTCCATCATATCACCTCCCATTCTTTTTTTTGAAGACTCTATGTTGAGATTCATCTTTAGATTTTATGACTTCATCTTCCCACACGAAATAATGTTGGGTCATCATATTGCCAAGTTACAGTTATTTTGACTCTATTTAAAGCATATTTCCCGCATTGGGTAGAGAGTCCACTAGAACTGACCAGATGGTGAGGATCAGCGACACTAGATATGAGGTCATTAAGCCCCCGAATGCCCTGGTACGGCCGAGAGTGGGGAGAGTCCGCTATCCCTCTCGAAATACTCTCACACGGCCGCGCGTATACAGCCTCTGCCAGGGGAGTCCTACTCATTGCCTTCTCGTGGCGGGGGTGTTGTTTACGAAAATGAGAGGACGAAAAGCGAATGTCCGGCGCTTTAACCGGATCACAAACCAATGGTGCACATGGGCTCCCGTATCCTGCGGGAACAAATGGCGTATAAACCAATCTTTGTTCACCGGCTACCATGGGATTGCATCTCCTTACGATGCTCCACTGCCTTGTGGGTTAGACCTTTAGGTCAAATGCTCGGGGTGTGGCCCCCTAAGATAACCACCTGCTTCGGTTTGGGCACCCGGGCATTATCACAACCCACACACAAACGATGAACTCTATGTCTATGGCAACTACTTTTCTCGCTCCGAAAAACAATCAATCGATTCAAATAATTATCATTACTATTATTGTCATTATTAATACTATTATTATTATTATTATTATTTTCCACATTATTCACCCTTTTTTATACTTATACAACGCCTCGTCTTTGGTGGAAATTCGACTGTATCTAAACGTTCTCGAGTCACTGTCCGGTTGAAAATTGTATGTTACCATCGAATATGAGTACTGAAGCAGTTTTTCTGAAACCACGTGCGCCATTCAAACTGGCTGCCTTCAACGTTCGCACACTTATGCAGGTTGGTCAACAGATAGGGCTGGCTATGTCTTTGGAACGTCTTCATATCGATGTCTGCTGTCTATCTGAGACCCATATTCAAGACTCTGGTGAAGTACTACAAATTCGCTCTACATCTGTCACTTCAAAAAGCTTGTTTTATGTACGCTTATCCGGGGACCCTGTGGCATCTTCGTCTGGTCTTGCTGGCGTTGGTGTCGCACTAAGCGCTAGAGCTGAGGCAGCACTAGTAGATTGGATCCCCATTAACAGTCGGTTATGTGCTGTTAGATTAGAAAGTTCCATCAAATTGAGAAGAAATCGGTGTGAAAAACGATGTCTCTTCGTCATCTCCGCCTATGCTCCGACAGATTGCAGCCCGCATACAATCAAGGATGAGTTTTACCACCAGTTATCTGTTCTTCTTCAGAAAGTGCGTTCGACAGATATTGTAGTACTAGCCGGAGACTTGAATGCTCAGGTCGGGCGTCTAGGCACAGAAGAGAGTCGTTTAGGTGGCCGACGGGGACTCGTTGGTCGCAGGTCAGATAACGAGGACCGTCTACTGCAACTTTGCACAGACCACAACCTGTTTCTGGCTAGCACTAACTTTCGGCACAGTCATCGCCGGTGTGCCACCTGTCGTCCTCCTTCTGCATCTCAAGCCTGGACTCAGATTGATCACATCGCGATCAGCTACCGCTGGCGTGGTTGTGTATAAGGCTGTCGCTCCTTTTGGAGTACCTATCTGGACTCTGACCATGCCTTGGTCTGCGCCAATCTTGCCTTACTTTTCAGTGGACAACGAAGTGACCGCCATCAAAGGATTGATATTAGCAAGCTGGTTGCAACTTCTTTTGCTAGTAAGTATCGAACCGAGCTAGCCTCTAGGCTAGCTACCACTCCACCGAAAAGTATAGATGAGCGTTGGTTGCAATTGCATGACGCCATGAAAATGGCGGGAATAGTCAGTTGTGGGTTTGCGAAACGTCAAATGTTAGAACACCGCCATACTTATCAAAGGCCAACAATCGTAGTGTTTCTTGACATCAGGGCTGCCTTCAATTCGTTGGACAGGACTGTTCTCTGGGATTGTCTGTTGAAGAAGGGTGTGCCTGAGAAGTTTATTAACATCCTAAAAGCCCTATATATAAACACCTCAGGCAGAGTGAGGGCATACAACCACCTCTCTCCATTGTTCCATTCGAACAGTGGGGTTAGACAGGGTTGCCCAGCCTCATCATTCCTCTTCAACTTTGCCATCGATGACATTCTGAAAACAGTTCTGATGGATGTAATTAATGGTGGTGTGGATCTGTTGCCTGGAGAAAGACTTCTCGATCTTGAGTATGTGGATGATATTGTCTTATTGAGTGATGATACTGATGCCATGCAATCCGCACTTAATCAGTTGGCAATCAGTGTCCGTAGGTACGGTATGTGCTTTGCACCTTCGAAGTGCAAAGTACTTCTACAAGACTGGCAGGATTCTTATCTTGTACCCACCTTGGATGGTGAGCAGATAGACGTAGTCGAGAAGTTCATGTATCTGGGTAGCTGCATAAATGCTGGTTGGAATGTGAGTGATGAGATCAATGCACGTATAGTGAAAGCCAGAGCGGCTTATGCCAATCTGGGCCACCTTTGACACCTTCGTGATGTTAGTCTGGCTGTAAAAGGTCGGATCTACAACGCGTCTGTGAGAGCAGTTCTGCTCTATGCTTGTGAAACCTGGCCTCTCCGAGTTGAGGACGTTAAACGACTCTCTGTGTTCGATCATCGTTGTCTCCGAAGGATTGCTGACATTCAGTGGCAACACCATGTCAGTAATGCAGAGGTTCGGCATCGTGTGTTCGAGCACAGAGATGATAATGCAATCGGTGTCACCATCTTGAAACACTGACTTCGGTGGCTTGGACATGTTCTACGAATGTCGTCCCAGAGAATTCCACGTCGTGCATTATTTGCCGACTCTGGGACTGGTTGGAAAAAGCGGAGAGGTGGTCAGTGCATGACATGGTGTCGTGGTATGAAAGAAAGCTGCAAAGGACTGGCTTCTGTCGGACCTTCACGACTCCCTGGTTGGGGTCTGAGAGATGGTGCTACACAGTGGCTAGAGACGTTATCAGATATGGCTCAGAATAGAAACCAGTGGCGATCCTGCTGTAACCTTCTTTTAGTTTCTTCATAAAAAGTGGATGTGTCTCCCTTACCCGAAAGATTTCTTCTGATTGTACCTTTCCGTTCCCTCGTTACTACCACACTACCTTACACCAATCTCTTCGTTATTGTTCTCTTTTTCTTTTGCGCTCCTTAGTTTTTTTTTCTATCTCTCTTCGAATTCTCATTGTTTTGTGTGGCGCATATATATTGGCGCTCTCTTGTACCAATATTCATGTGTTCAAATAAATAAATAAGGTCCGATTCTTGTGAAGCATTTTCATCAGATCTCTTGAAAATTTCATTAGTAGATAATTGATCACTAGAATAATCAACATCTATCAAAATTTTATTAGGTTCTTGATTATCGTTTGATGCATCCGACAAATTTTCCTCATTTTTGTAAGAAATTTGATCGAAAGCATGTGAGTCATTAGGATAAATCATATTTGGTAAAACAACTATAGAACCCCAATAAGTACATTCATCAGAAACTGTTGTCGTAGAATGATGAGCTCCATTTAATGCAACTGTCTTCATTATGATGCTTGATTCATTTTCTGTTTTGAGATGGTGGAGAAGATTTGTAGCTCAGGTGAATGATTTGGGTGGAGTTTTGTTCTCTGAGCTGGATGGTTTGGTCGTGGAGCTTTCATCGTTCTTCTGAACGACATCATCAGCACAAACTTCAAATAGAAGTGAAATGTTTGAATTTCTCCATATGTGTTTCACAGCTTGTTCTGTGCACCTCGATGTTGAACCAATCAACATCGAGTCATTATCACCTGCTTTTGTTACCTCGAGACATTGATAACGAATATTAAACTGTTCAATTGGATAAATGGAAGATACCAAGAGATTTTTGTTTAACTAGTACATAGATGCTTGTGCTTCTACACATGTACACTAGAACTGTCTATGGTTTCGATATATACATAGGTAACGTTTAGATTCCTATTATTGTTTGTTCCAATGAGTCGAATTAAAATGCAAGTGATTAAGTAGATAAGATCAAAATATTTAATAAGTCCCTAAAACCACTTGTTAAATATTTTAAAATAATCTAGAAAAAAAACTAATATCAAAAAAGTTACTTACTGGTTGTAATATAAAATCGTGAATGGCTTGTTTAATAAATGAAATTGACTGATCATTTGTAAGATCCACTTCTCCTGGATCACCTTTTTCTCCCTTTTCAATAAAAAAATTTATAAATTAGCTTATATGTATGTATACACGTATTGATATATGAGTGAGATACGGTTAATAATTAGTTCTCTTGATATAAACAACATATCAACTAAGTGTTGATTTATGCTAATATACAAATGTGTTAATAAAAACAATGGAACTACAAATTAAGTTGTGTTCTTTAATTAAACTAATAGCGTTAATCACTTGGAGCAATCAGCAGAATTTAAATTCCATTAGCTTAACAGTATAATACACTGAACATGATTGTATAATCCGACAACGACAAGTAGAGTGGATTAATTCTATGATCTTGAAGATATAAGGCCAGTGACTAAATCACTGAGGTATAATTTTTTATTTTTTTAGAGAAGATGCAGTAACAATGATGATTGATTTTCTTTGTGATGTGAATATATGAAAAATCAAAATCGTATATTTAACTTGTGTTTCTATATATTGAGACATCCGCACATTAAACGTAATAATATCGACAGAGACTTGGCTGTTCAGCTTTACAAAAGTAAACAGTGAGAAGCTATTTCTTTGAAAAACAAAGACTATACTAATTCTGTGCCATAGCAGATGATCATTTGACCATTTACAAAACATAAATACAATAAACTGACAAAGTCTAAACTAATTAAAGCTCTCATTCGAAATTTAATCACTACCAACCATCAGATATGATCTAATCAAAATGTCAGGTATTTTACACATGTAGCCCAAATTCAACAATAGAGATTAAACAATCAAGTGTTGAAAAGGAAATCAATATAAGGAAATTATCAGGTTTATTAAAAGAAAAGTAATGTAATGAAATTTAGTACGAGTTATCATGATGAGTATTTGTTTTTCTCTCTTCTTGAAATGATTTTCATGTGCTATTTAGTATGAAAGTTCTTACAGAAAGTGGTTTATATTCTATTTTTAAAATGCCAACTCATTCAATACTGAAATATAAACCCCATTAACATAAAAACAACATTTATTTCATTACAGTCATCGATATAGATAACTGATATCACTTTTTAAGTTATAAAAATTCACATATTAGATGAATATTCAAATTGTGAAGTAGATGAAAATTTTGAAAAAACGTTAACTCAGGTTTGCGTGTTTTATATGATTCTCTGAGCATTAGAATTTTCTGTCGGAAATTGAAATTACACTATATAAATATGTATATGTATCTATATATATATCTCAGTTACTTTTTCTCCTGGAGGTCCTTGAGGTCCGGGTATTGCAGCTTCTTTGCATTGATCAATGGTACAAACTCCAGGAGGACCGGGATCACCTTTAGGTCCCTATGAATTTATGAAAAGGTATAGAAATAAACTACGGAAAACGATGAAGAAAGAGGAAATATTAAATTTACTGAGTACAGTTGTTAAGTTTTTACTTTTTGGAAACAAAGTGGTAAATTGAAACAAAATAGAGTTTATGAATAGACAAATAAATTTAGCAGTGATTTCAGGTGTTTGTAATAAGAAAAATAAATGAACATCAAGAATATTTTTTAAAATTCCGTTGAATCCTAAGCGTGAGTTTTCAGTACATAAAAATTTACCAACTCTTCGATTGACATCATTAAATAATTTACAAACATAGTTCACTAACAAAATAATATCGTAGGTACGGTAATAATTTGAACTGTATAACAATCACTGTGCTAAAATTGATGAAGTGAGATATATGAAGATAGAGCTAAATCATACTGTCGAACGGAGAAAAGTTATGGTACTTATATTGAATTAAGGTAGGAATTCGAGTTACGAGATAGAATCAGAGACTGGGGTTACAGTTTTAATCACAAACTGACATAAACTATAGTGCAGAAATCCTAATAGCATTTTGATTACAATTCTTCGTGTAACAATTCATCGGATTATCTTTGCCACTTTCTGATTGGCTGTAAATATTGATACCTCAAGGTCGTTCGGGACTATGCTTTAGATTTATTGTAAAACCTAATCACTGAACAGGTGAAACATTTGGATCTAATGTTTATTATTATTATTATTATTATTATTATTATTATTATTATTATCATTAACAAGTATCTAGTGGAACAAGTAAATATTTGTGAAGAAAAGACGATAATCTTTTTGCAATTTAAAATTGAACAAATGATCCTGTTTTAAAACAAAATCGTATATACAGCTGGTAGTCTTCATAAAATTAACATTAATTCAAATATGTTTTATCCCATCATTTGATGATTTTAAAATGTAAAAGATGAAATAAATCAAAAATACATTGGGCCAATCTTTAAGGAAAATACTCCATTTGCATATAGACTACTTGTTTTTAATACAGGCTATTTACAGGGGAAAAAGTATAATATTTCTTTTCAATCATTTAGCTTTTTGGAACAGTTTTCTCAAGAAATAATTTTGTTCTTACACAGGGATAATGGTTCTAGTTGAATGAAGGTGGGTTTAAACTAACACATTCTGACTAGCAGTCTGTTACATAACGAAGAGATTCAAATCTGGTTAATTGTTAGTCATCCTAACTTTGGATAATAGTGTACTGGACAAGTAGTGTAGAAGCTTTTGATTTAAGTGTAACTGTTACTTTAATTTTATTCCAACTTCATTGGCCATCTACATATAAATTTTCAGTCAATTAAGACTATTTTTAAACAGATGAATTGATAATAACTCATGAACTAGAAATAACACATATACAGAAAATTCTTTGTTTACTTGTATAACAGTCGATAGATTCGATCCACAAGTTGCAGGACAGGTTCCAGGGGGTCCTTCAGGTCCCTTTTTATGATAAAGAAACGAGAAAAATGAATAAAATCAAAAGCAAACTTCTTTACAGACGTAAAAACGAGCAACTGGAAAATATATCCTGTGTATGGTATTGTTTTAATGGGTAAAAATCAGATAAGGAAAAACTGCTGATTATTATTTATCTGCGACGATACACAATTATTACACGCTTTAAACGTATCTAATTTACAAAACTACCAACTAAATATCAACCTCTTGATTGTTCATAAAGAGAAAACAGTTGATATGTCAGTTATTCAGTTCATTGAAGTTGTAGAGAAACAACATACTATTTTTGCTAGGTTTCATAATTCAGTAATGATCTAGTTTAATTTGAAAATCATTTTCATTATAAATCAACTAGTAAGCCACTAAATTCTTACTTACATGTTTTAAGGTATTTTGTTCACTGTGAGATTTAAAGGTACAAGTTAGTATGAGAGTATGTAGGTAAACCTTGGAAAGGATGAAGCAGTTTTGTAGTGTTTTCATTCTTTAATGGTTTTTCAGTCGATATAATTTTATAAATAAAAATATTGTATTCATAAGTGTAAGTCAAACCAAATTAAATTGTTTATTTATTCTCCGATAAAGTGGCTTACACTGAGTGATGAAACGTCAAGAAATCTAATTCTTCTACTCATTTGGATATTACAAGTAAATTATTTTTATTTATAACAATCTGCCTAATGCTCAATTTATTTGAAATTATCAAGTCATACCTTGGTAATGATACCTACAGATATGAGTTTATATTGAAAATGTCCTTCAGCATACTGTTTGTTGATCACATAATTATTTGAAGTAAACTTGTGTGAAATTATTTCAGTAAACGAGGCCAAATGACAAGACATTTGTGAGTTTCCGCTTTTATAGTTTAAATTTTAAAAAAAACGAATCACTAAGTATTACACTGTTCCATCAACTCCGAAGCTACGTACCACAAATAGTCAAAAAACTTTACACGTCATGCATGTGAAAACAATAAAATAAGAGTGAATTACTACTGAAACTAATTGAACAAAACTTAATTAGTTAATAATCCAAATAAGATGTGTTCTTCTACAATTTGGGATGTTTAATTCTAATTTAAGACTTTTTAAAGCAGATATTAATTTAAGATAAAATGTTTTAATTAACTTTTCTGTATTAACTATATTATTATAAATAACATACTTAGTGAAAAAAATCTTGGGGTTGTACGTCTAAATTTCTGGTTAGACTCTTTGACATGTAATGTTTAGCTCCGCTTGGAACCTCTCTGGGGGTACTACCAGTCCCAAGCCCGGATAAAGGAGGAGGGTTGGAGATGGGGTTAGCGACACCATCTCATAAAAAAACTAAGCCGCTAAAAAACTCTAACCAGGAAACATAATGTGGCGAGTGAAATAGACATCTTTGATAACATCGAATAACTACAATACAACAAACTCAGGTTGGAAATATATTAGACGTTTGTTTTAGATCTAATGATGTAAAAGTACCTTACAAAATGATTGACTAGTGTGAATTTGATTCATTGAGAATAAGTGGATGGATACTGATGAGGAGCGAGTTCCAGGTAAAGATGAATCGACTGACTGATGCTTTCTAGTTTTTAATGGCTATCTAGCTAATACAAGTTCTTGACAATAACTTAATTCAAATTTTGGATATTAAACAATGCCCTATGCTAATAGCATATATTTTTTCCAGTCATATGTAATAGAGTCGATTACTACTGAATGTTGTTTGGTCAAGCTTTAGAAAGATATTGTGAACAGAGGTAATGGTAGATCTTCTGTAACTGTGGAACACAAGACAAATCACCGAATTTTTTTTATAAATCTTCATCGTATTTATTGATAAATAAATGAATGATTAATAACAACGTCTTAGAAAATAGAATTGAAAATGGACATAGGTAATTGGGCTTACGAGTCACCAAGTGGTAGACAATGTCGTGTTCATCTAGCCCCTAATGATGAATAAATTTTGTTCACTAGTGGTCAGTCGGCAAATTAGTTACTGCGCAGTGATCAATTTCTCAACTAAAACATTTGGTGGCTTCATCTCAGGTTGCTGCACTAGATGATTTACGTATTAAACCTAGATCTAGCAACAATTCCTTCAATATCCCACATATGCCTTGGTGACAAGTATCAGCTAATATGGAATCTAACACAAAATTTCCTCCCGACTATCACCAATTACCTAACATTAGGGTCTAATGAATATTTTAAAGAATACAATAGAAGAACCGAATAAACTAACAAGAATCAATAATAATCTTTTTATATAATATTACTATTGTGTCCAGTCTATTGACTACCTATGTGTGTAAACAGAAGTCATGATTATTAACCATACAACTTTGTTTCATTAGGAAAATCAACTAACAATTTCTTATCTGTTCAGCAGATGGGTTACTTTGATTATCAATATTTTTACAAAAGAAGGATTTTAGAAATAATAAATTAACAAATTACCTTTGGTTATAACAATCAGTCAAATTACTTGATGTATTTTGTGAAATCACTATTAAAATGAAATAGGATGGATGTCATCATAATAAAGTCACGAGTATCGTTTGTCTGAATTATATATATACTACCAAGTGATGTTTTTTTAACTTTAAAATTAGGTTTTCTTTTTACATTTTTGGTTTTTAGAAGCTACGGCCCTGTTTCGCATCATGGTTCTTCAAATTTTAAACAAGTTCTAAGTATAATGACTTATTCCAAATACATTTCATCAGAGATGTATTAAGATTTTACCCAAATGGATCATGAGCCTTATTAATTTTATTTTCATATAAATACCAGTCACTGTGATAAGCCAATGTAAAAATCAACTGTAGCCTTGATCAATAAGCAACTAAAAATAACTGTAAGGCAAATTGATAAAAGCCTTGAAAATAGATTGTTCTCACTTTTGAACATTTTCATTGAAATCGTGAACCAATCTAAACTAGTAAACCATAGAAAACCTGGAGGCCCTGGATGGCCGTTTTTCCCTAGTATGAAACTCACCAAAAATGCGCATACAAACCTCGTTCTCGGGAGTCGAACCCTCAAGAATGCTTAACCTACAAACCGATTAACCGATATCCATTTTAATTAATTCCTATTGGTAAATCCTTTTGATTTAATGCTGTACTTAAAAGCCCTATTAGTTGTATTAGAATTAATAGTATTCAAGCTACGCTTTTATATAATGCTATCAAAAACAATTCAAAAAGTGTAACTTAGTCAAAATCATTGGATAGAGTAGATTGTATTTTAATATTTTACAATTATGTTAATTACATGTAAGATTACTGAAAATTCTATAAATTATTTATTTATTCAAGTTTAGTCTGTGGACTTTTTAAGTGATGCAGTTAGGTTTGTAGCTCTCATCACTAATTTGTCTATTTTATCATAGTCATGTTACTTCTTAATTAACTCAGAAGATTAATTGTATATATTATTCTCATTATTTTAAAAAGCGAAATGCTTTGTGATAGGCATTGCCATCAACGAATTTATCAATTGTTTTTAGTGTTCTGACTATAACAGTAGAGTTATATAGTGTTTTAAGGTTGAATAGTAAGTTGTAGGTAAATGTGAGAGAGATAGTGATGCGTCAGTGGATGATTTATATAAACAAAGGTTATCACTGAGATATCAATGTTGGTGTCGGTCTATTTGTTTATAGATGCATATGCATTGGGATTTCTTAGTTCAATATTGATCAAAAACACTACCCACACTGTGTTGTTTTCTCTATAATGTCTAATCAAGGTGAACAAATTCTCGAGACCGAATGTTTTAACTGAACTGGACTGTACACAACGATGGTTTTATTTAAAAACTTCATACTATTTTGACGAGTTCATTAGCTGCCATTGTTTAACAAACGGGACATTGTTTCACCATATAAAAACGAGGTTGTGTCATCACTAATGTCGTTGGTCTTTCTTGCAAGCAACCTACTAAAACCATTTAGTGAAAGTCATTAGTCATCCTTTACTATAATTCCTAAGTTTTGTTAGTATTTAAATAGTTTCACAAAGTTACAGTTCGTTAAGGAAGCCTTATTTAACTTTTATGTACTTAAGATTTATTTAAGTTTTTCTTTTGAATTCTATGTTAACCTTTATAGTTGCATTGAAAAATGTCGTGTCTGATGTTTCGATCAGTGACTAAATATCTAATAAGAATTTTTATTATTCAATCCTATCTGTTAACATCTTATCATTTGAATTTTTCATAGCTGACCATAATCTTGAAAATGTTTTAAAAACATATAGTTCTGGTTATATTTCTAAATAACGCATTGATAACTATTGTATTTTCTTAAATTACATGAATTCATCTTTAAAAAAATGGTTATCCTTTAATGGTATAAACATTACAGTGATAAATCCTTTAACTAGAATCTGAACTGATATATACCATGAAGTATCGATTTCTAGGAAGGCTACAGTGATTCTCTTGTTATGGATATCAATAAGCATGAGATATACATCATATGTTGTGTTTTGTTTTATTGTATATCTTCAACTATCAGATGTAATTTGCTATTGTCGATTCGAATACTTTTGAAAAACATCTTTCACGGTCAGTTATTCCTTAATAACTTTTACCTATTCTATGTTTGAAAAGTTATGCATTAGATTGTTTTCTGGTAATGTAAGTAGAATAATTTAATTTATGTATTATTTTTTAATTCATATGATTCAATGCACAAATGCCAATATCCTAAAAATCGTACATTAAATTGAAAACTTTGTTTAAGTAGATTAATATACTATTACAGTTTATAGTCGTATTTTTGATTGTTTTTACTGTAACACTTGTCATGTGGATGTACACATATGTTACCAATTGTTAAATATTCATTTGCATACACTAAATTTAAAGTAAATAATTCTCAAAGTCTTAGTGTTTTAGTTATGAAAACAACTAATAAATTCCAAGGGATTGAAGAATTTCTTATAGAAAATAAGCTGAAAATGTGAGAGCTGATAATTTGATATAGGTGCTAAGAATAAAAGCTGATAGTTAAGTCATTACTCAATTAATAATTGAGAGACGCAGAAATACATTTATACTATAGTTTTGGAAAGGCTGTAGGTTGTATTCTCTACAGCTTGATATCATCTGGTCTCAAGTCCAATCTCTGAAGAGTGTTGTAGTGAAGCATTGATGAAGAGTTCTACACTGGGACGAAACACTAGTCCAATCTTCCTTGATTGCTGACTGATATCAAATTAAACCCATTTTCACAAAAACTTCAAGTGAATTTGTAAAGAATGTTTTAAAAGACTTTTAATCATGTTCGGTATTTTGTGTTAAATATTTTCTTCATTTTACAAAAAAGGAAATATAAAGATAACAGAATAACACCAGTCAACTTTTACTGTTCCCGTAATTATTAAGAAAATACTGTCAGTCATAATAATTCGTGTTGATTGAATAAATGTGGCTGTTTATTAATGTAAGTTTAAACACAATAAGTTTTTACTTTATGAAACAAAGTTGGGAACACAGAAAACTATTATTTCTCAAACAAATATTTTTTAAAAGTTAATTTACATACCATAGGTCCTGCATCACCACGATCTCCCTAAAAATATAATAAACAGTAGTAAATTCTGATCAATAGAATAATTGGATAATTTAATCGATTAAGAAGTAAACCTACTAGCAGAACTCATGTACATTCGATAGATAAAATAACATTGTACTTAAATGTAATATGAGATGAAATTGGGCGATACCTCAACAAAGACATAAACATTCATCAAAGAGGAAGAATATATATTTGAAAAACCTCAGCGAATGAATTTTAAGTAAATCCAACGTTTCATTAGCTGAGATTTTTCAAATATATATTCTTCCTCTTTAATGTCTCACATTAACTCGGCGCCCAAATATTGTGAAACTATTCGTTCAAATTTAGACGAAAGTTCTTATTCATAAACATTCATCACTCAATTGAATAGTTTGAAATATAATTGACAAGTGTACTGTGGATTTCATTGTCTAAACATTATGAAACAACTTCAAGGTTCATCTTAGTGAAAGGGAAACCTAAATTAAAAAACGTTTAAATAATAATGAAGAGCATTATATCTGTTCAATTCCCTTTAGAACAGATAAAAGTCTTATGGAACTTATCAGATATATTCGTACCAAAAATGATGTCATCCGTATAGATTGCAAAATGCATTTTACAGTTAGTTGAGATTATCTAAATAATTGAAGGTCGGACGTTTTGGCAATGTTTACTAGCAGCGATAGTCTATCGCATATTATGACGTAGTTAAACAGTTTTCTGTGGGGAGTCTCTTGAATGGATAAGTGTTTGGGATGAATTCCAAGCTGTCACTTAATACTTATAATTGCTGATATTTATTTTGACAGAGAAGCTGATCGGCCAAAATTTATTCGAGTAGTCCAAGTTCACTCACATGTTTAACTTTGTGAATTTTATCTCAAGGCTTTTTCCGCAGTAAAACTAACGGCAGATAAAATATCGCATTAGAAAAGAAAGTTCTAAGAGCTAAACGACATATTTCTGAGGAGTTTTGTAGATTTTCAATATAGAAACTCATTACCAAAATTACCTGTAGTAAGGAATGTCAAATGCTCAACATCTAAATCTCTCACTTGATAGCAACATTTGTTAAGTTTCCTTATTAAACAAATTTGTTGAGAAATCCCTGACCCTCTGATATTATTCAATCCCAACTGTCATTACTCACTCGTGTTTTGTATAATGAGAGACAATGAACTATTGTAGACTAGATCCTATTTGAATAACGCAATGATTGTTGATTTGTAAATATCGGCTGGGATTCCTGTCGCAAGAGCTCCACAACACACTACTACATTACTTCAATCCTTTCAGTCATATAAAGGAGGTCATAATTCCTATGGTCTTACTTCGAATATACAAGTTCAAACATAAAGCTGTAAGCTTTCACTCGACACTGTATCTCATAAAATACACCAGACTCAATGCAATTAAATCAAGAGTAGTCATGAGATTATTATACCGATAGGAAACCTGAATTAAATCTAGGGATTTATGCAATTTTATATTATTACAAATTAATACTATCACTCCATAACTAATAATTTCTCTAAAGCTCAATAATTTGGCTTGATTTCAATTAATTTACGTTGCTCGATATTAACCAAACTTAGAGGGATATCATCAAACTGGAAATGGTGTAATGTTTTTTTTGTTTAGACGAGGAAACCCATGAGCGATGAAAACCCTAACTAGTTACGTTCAATAGTATGAACCGGTGCATCAACTGTTTACCCTATCACCTGATTAGTTGTTTTGTTAACTTAGACTCAATTTAAACGGTTGGGTGAAAATTACGAAGTCTTGCAAATGAGTGCGTTCGATAGATTTTCTAGTTGATTTGATTGGTTGACCACTTAATGATCAGGTCAACTTTCCATTCATTCATTTCTTTCCAATTGGTCAGTTCTTCTGTGGTGGATTTGACGATCGATAAACTATGTGGCTAGAGTTCTATTTTCAAGGTTATGCTTACGCCTTCATGCTGTAAATCAATTCTTGAGTTTGTTAGCCTATTTTGACTGGGATTGTTTTTATAATCACCAGTATGATTATTAAGCAGATGAAAAACGATTGATATCGTCACAACATCCTTCTGTCAAACTGTATGTGGATCTATATGTCTTCAATTAGATTTAATTTAGAGTGACAGTTTTTCATATCCAAAGTATAATCACTTACCTTTTCTCCTTTCAGTCTCAAAAGACCCTGGAAAGAAAAGTATGTAGAATTTTTTTTTAAAAAAAACGATTGAATTTTTATGCATGCTAATTTAAATCATTTCATCATAACTAGAAAATACTACTACAAGGTGACACCTTACAGAAGTTAATTATTACACATAACTTTCTATTTTACTTACTAGTCGTATCCAAAGAAAAACTATCAGTCTAAGCATTTTGTATTAGTTAAATGTTTCTAGTACGATTGTGAATTAATATTTTTAACAGTCGATTTTCTAATTGCTACACATATCACTAAAATTTAATGTAGAAATTGTCATTTCTGATAACCAATGGTATTTCGTCACAACTTGGATAGAAACTGACGACCATATTTTATGATGTCAATATTTTCCTAAATTTTTGTTTTCCATTGAATGAAAGTATGCGGTTCTTCTTTAAGTTCATATCATTCTAGAAACAAATCACTGAAGAGGTAGTGTTGTCAAATTTCGTATAGGAAATAAGATATAGTCCAAACTAGGTGTTCATTCTTGGATACTTTTATCTATTTGGAAAATAGTTCTAGGTGTATGTAAAATTATTCCGATTTTATTTGAATACGATGTTAAAATTCGCAACGAAAGAGAATCCTGTAATAAAAGACTTAAATTAATATCCAGTATTGTTACACATGTATATATTGTTTTGCAGTAAATCTGTAACGAACTATTAATCTATTTGTCTTAATCATCATTCTTGCTTGTTTCTGTTTTATATATTTCTCTTGTTAAAACTTCATTAGTGTTGGTGTCATTAGGTTTCTTAACTTTTCCCCTTTTTCAAATGGAACAATTTGAATCTGTATGGATTTGTTTCGGATTATAATGTATTTTTGTTTATCTGCATGACTCAGTTCTAAAGAATACATTCTTTTTCCTCAATTTGTTTGATAAGTAGATCAAATACACGTACTTGAGGTAATATCAACAACAAGTAGACCTTGATCATTAACAGTAAAAGTATTTAGTTATTATGACAACTTTCGTTACATGTTGGTGCATCATCAGATACAGAAGGTTTACAATTTATTGGTACTCAGCCGTATGAGTAAAATAGATCTAGGGCAAACCAATGGTCAGTCTGATATCATAAAATCAACTTTGTGTTCGAATAACTGGTGAATTTACGTGTATTTGACTTGTATTCAATGAATATTCGTGTGTTCTGTACAAGCCTCTTTCAGTGTATGTTGAACATATATGTCCCCACCAGTCTTGTTCTTAGTTAACCAGTTGGATGACCATTTTTCGTAGTCACGTAAATATCGTTTTATAACAAACATATACTGAGTTATGTCATGCTATTAATCAGAACTATGGTTAAGTTCATACTTACAATTACGTAAACGAAGATTGGACTTGATGTAAGACAGAACTTGGACCCCTACAGATCAACAGTCATCCTTGAATATATTTCTTAGGATAACATATTATTTTATAATTGACTCATGTTACAAGTTTCTTTAAGACGCTACGGCTGCAACCAGATGATAAGTTTGAAAACAGTAGTCATTTTCTTCACGAGTTTCAACATATGTCTCATCAATATTGTTTCATGATTTAAAGCATCATTAGTGTTACGGTTTCATTGTGTTTCTACTCAGTTTTTTTCATTACAGACTATGGATAGTCTTATGCCTAACAGTAAAGCTTTATTTTATCATCAGCATTATTTGTTAGGTTAGCCGTTCAACAGACACCTGTTAGATTTAGTTTATCACCAGAAAACGCTAAGATTATTACTGAACTATGATTTTAGATGATTAAGAAATGTGATATCTGTTGGTACTGCTATATATTATGTGCTGATTTTTTAAGTTTCTTTCCATCTGTGATATTTTACGACACAGTTCAACGCATATTATAGAAGAGATACCTGGTAGATATAAAATCTTTTAAATATGTTATTAGTTATTAAAACATTATTTAAAATGTATGTTTAGTTAAACTGCCATGAACTTGTGATTTTGTATACAATTTTGTACTGCGGTTTATCATCATTTTACTGGGAAAGTATAACGTAATAAGTTTGGTTATAGAGTTCGGTGAAAAGTGAATAAGATAACTTACACTATTAGATTATCATAAATATATTGATTTATCTGAGTAACACTTTAGTACGTTTCAAAATGAAATCATCTGAAATTCATATATTTACTATTCGTAAACTTATGAAATCCGATTATTTATTAAAAGATAGTTTATTTCAAATATGCGGTATCCAATGTGTCTTGTCCTCATACTTATTTTAAAAACTTAACAGGTTTTTGCAGTGTTGTATTATTAGTTTAAAGTATAACTTTTATCCTATCGATAGTAATTATTAATTTTGACATACAATCTCATTGTCATATCTTCATTATTTAGTTACTTGTAAAGGTAAATCTCCGGTGGTTAGGGATTAGTTACTTAATTCAGAAGCTATCTGTGGAAAATGTTTACTTTATATGCATTAAAAGTAGGTAATGTAGTGATTTGTTCAAAATAAATCTGTTTGCTAAGACTATGATGACTTGGTTTGAAGTCAGATAGCAATGTGTTTTGTTACATAGTGAATCAGGTATTTCTCGAACTGAGGTTACTGAACAGTCCAGTACAAGAAGTCTAGGCTTAAATGCATGTATTGAAGCTAATATGAGATAGAATTTGTTTGTAGATTATTGCTGAAAATAAAATCATAAATGTAGCGGACTGACATGTCTTATGTTTTACCGCATTTCTGGGATTATTGACGTTCTGATTCTCTAGTGATGGAGATAATAAACCCGAATGCTGAACTGAATTCGTCATTATTTTTATAACTGGCTAGTGTGTCTGGTCGTTACATGAAATTGTGAAATACAACTATACCTATTTTATTAAATGACTCGTCTAACCAGTCACAACTCAAATCCATTGAGGCATGCATCAACGATGGTTTTATTTCGGAAATTACTTTATCCCAAGCAGTTACGTGAGCGTACTCATACTAAAAAATTAGTTATACAAACAGTCGTTATGGTTAGTATAAGATTATAAAATCCTGATGAATAAAAAATTGAATTTCTGACGTTTTGCAACTAATTGTGTCGTTTTTTCAGTGAATAAATAAATCACTGACTTAACACGATTTCAAATATTAAAGAGCAATAACGCAGAATACTTAGTACAACAAAAGTAGACTTGATCATGTTGATGACATGTCGTTTGAGTTAAGGTGATTCTGTATGAGACATCGTGTGTCGTTGTATGTACGCTAGTGGGTGTAAAAAATGTTCTTTTTGTAATGTGGGGAAGTGGATTTAAAAATTTGCATTCTTGTATGCAGAATTAAGTGTGGTTATTTGAGTAAATGGTCGAGGTTCTATGTGTGCAGCAGCTGCTCCTTACTGGCAGTGTGGTGCATGGCACTACGTTCGAAACTGCACATTTAAGCAACATCGATGCAAGAAGTGTAAGGTTATTGGTCATAAGGATGGGTTTTGTCTTAGGAAGAAGAGTCCAAGTCAATCCAGAAATACCAAAAAGACTCTTCCTAGATCCCATACCAATTCATTGAGCTTAGTATCTTCGTGTCGAATCTCATCGCCAGGTGAGAGAAAGTTTATTACTGTCAGTATTAATGGGCATTCATCTAGAATTTAAATAGACACAGCATCAGATGTCACTATCCTCTCTCGTAAGACTTGGACCAAAATGGGCAGCCAAAACTTGCAGCGTACAACGCAAAAGCCTCGTACTGCGTGTGGTAATTACCTTTACCTGCTAGGACAAATGGAATGTACAGTTACTTTCCGTGATTCGGCATTTGTTGGGGTATGTTACATAACGCCAGCTGATCTAAATTTGCTCGGGTTAGATTGGTTCGATCACTTAAATTTAGCTGATATCCCGTTGAATACCATATGCAACCTGGTATCACAACCTTAACTACGACAACAACCACATGACTTGGAAGCATATACGAGGAACCTAATGACGCAGTTTTCAACTATTTTTCAACCTGGATTTGGTCGCTGCGCTGCCATGAAATCAAAACTTCGATTGAAAACTGGGGCTAAGCCTGTTTTTCGCCCAAAGAGACCTGTGCCTTATGCAACATTACAAACAGTAGATGAAGAATTGAACCGCCTTCAACAACAACTAGTTATTACTCCCGTTTCCTACTCTGCATGGGCAGCACATATCGTGGTTATTAAGAAGGCCAATGGTACGATACGTATATGTGCTGACTTTTCAACAGGTCTTAATGCAGCTCTGGAACAACATCATTATCCCTTGCCTGTTCCCGCAGACCTATTTACCATGCTGAATAGGGGAAGAATTTTCGCTAAGCTGGATCTAGCTGATGCTTATTTGCAAGTGGAAGTAGATGAAGCATCAAGAGAGCTGCTAACTATCAATACCCATCGTGGTTTGTTCCAGTATAACCGTCTACCTTTCGGAGTCAAAACTGCACCATCTATTTTCCAGCAATTAATGGATGCCATCCTATCAGGTATCTCGGGAGTCGCGGTTTATTTGGGTGGCATTTTGATTGTAGCGACGACACTAGAACAGTTACGAGAACGCACAACATTGGTACTGCAACGCATCAGTGACAACGGTTTCCAGTTACGCCCAGAGAAATGCCAGTTTTATTTGCAGTTGGTAAAGTACTTGGGGTTCATCTTCGACACCAACGGCCGCAGGCCGGATCCTGAGAATATCCGAGCTATCAAACTGATGCCCACTCCCACTAATGTCTTGGCACTACGTTCCTTCCTGGGACTTGTCAGCTATTACTCAGCATTCGTTTCATCGATGCATGACATTCGCGCTTTACTTAATATCTTACTGCAGAAGAACAGCTCTTGGAACTGGACTAAACAGTGTGACGCTGCCTTTTGTAAACTGAAGTCCATTATTACTTCAGAATTGCTGTTGACACACTACGATCCAGCCATGCTGATCATCGTAGCTGCAGACGCTTCAGCGTATGGCCTTGGCGCTGTTATCTCCCATCAGTTTCCGGATGCGTCGGAAAAAGCCGTTATGCATGCAGCCCACACACTAACCCCAGCAGAAAAAAAAACAGGTAGATAGAAAAAGAAGCGCTTGCGCTTGTGTTTGCTGTGCGCCGTTTCCACAAGTTCCTGTACGGTCGGAGATTCACACTTCTCACAGATCACAAGCCTTTACTCGCAATATTCGGGTCGAAATCTGGCATTCCAGCTCATTCTGCAAATCGTCTTCAGAGATGGGCCTTAGCACTATGATTTCGACATCCAGTATCGAAGCGCTCAGCAATTCGGTCAGGCGGATGCCTTATCACGACTCATTAGTGACCAGTTGGCGGCTGAGGAAAACACGGTAATCGCATCTCTGCTAGCGGAAGACCATGCCGAATGTTATCTGATGACCTCAATACGAACTTTGCCGGTATCTGCAACGGACATACAAAATGATTCTAAGAGTGACCCCATCATCAAGATGACTATGAGCTATGTCACCAACGGTTGGCCGTCTAAAAAGTTTGATGGTGATATAAAACAGCTGTATCAGCGGCGGGATTCTCTATGCATTGTAAACGACTGCTTGATGTTCGGAGAGAGAGAGTGGTTGTGCCAGAATCCCTTCGTGCAAAAGTGCTGAAACAGTTCCACCTTAGTCATCCGGGGATTAGACGAATGAAATCCATAGCCAGGAGTCATTCATATTGGCCGCTAATGGATCAACATATAACAGAATTGGTTGGGAAATGTATGTGGTGTCAGCAAGCGGCAAAAATGAACGTCAAGGTTCCACTTGTTTCATGGTCACAACCTGATCATCCGTGGTCCAGGATACACGTCGACTTTGCAGGCCCGATTAACGGAACCATGTATCTAGTTGTTGTCGACGCCCTTTCGAAATGGCCTGAAATCAACCCTATCATACCGCCAGCGACGACTAAAACAATACAAATCCTCACAGAAATTTTTCCCGAAATGGTATACCAGATGCCATTGTATCTGACAACGGTTCACAGTTCACCTCCAGCCAATTCCAGTCATTCTGTCAACGGTTAGCAATAAAGCACTTACGCTCACCATAATACCACCCTTAGTCGAATGGGCAAGCAGAAAGGTTTGTGGATACGTTTAAAAGAGCCTTGGCTAAGACAAAAGGGGAGGGGACACCAGCGGACGCGTTGCAAAATTTTTTATACGTGTACCGAACAACACCAAATGAGACGTTGCCGGAGCGAAAGTCCCTAGCAGAGATCCTAATGGGAAGAAGACTGAAGACGATCCACAGCCTGATGCATCCAAGTAATGCGCACCGACACCAGTACGGACAAAGTTTGAAAAGCGATCCACGTACGAAGTCTGATGTCCTGTGTTTTCCCGTGATTACAGACCAACCCATGGTTCATGGACGGAAGCGCGAGTGGTCAGATTTTTATTTTATTTTATTTGAACACATAAATATTGGTACAAGAGAGCGCCAATATATATGCGCCACACAAAACAATGAAAATTCGAAGAGCGATAGAAAAAAAAAACTAAGGACCACAAAAGGTAGTGTGGTCGTAACGATGGAACAGAAAGGTACAATCAGAAGAAATCTTTCAAGTAAGGGAGACACAACCACTATTATGAAGAAAGTAAAAGAAGGTTACAGCAGGATCGCCACTGGCTTCTATTCTGAGCCATATCTGATAACGTCTCTAGCCACTGTGTAGCACCATCTCTCAGACCCCAACCAGGGAGTCGTGAAGGTCCGACAGAAGCCAGTCCTTTGCAGCTTTCTTTCATACCACGACACCATGTCATGCACTGACCACCTCTCCGCTTTTTCAACCAGTCCCAGAGTCGGCAAATAATGCACGATGTGGAATTCTCTGGGATGACATTCGTAGAACATGTCCAAGCCACCGAAGTCGGTGTTTCAAGATGGTGACACCAATTGAATTATCATCTCTGTGCCCAAACACACGATGCCGAACCTCTGCATTACTGACATGGTGTTGCCACTGAATGTCAGCAATACTTCGGAGACAGCGATGATCGAACACAGAAAGTCGTCTAACGTCCTCAACTCGGAGAGGCCAGGTTTCACAAGCATAGAGCAGAACTGCTCTCACCGACGCGTTGTAGATCCGACCTTTTACAGCCAGACTAACATCACGAAGGCGCCAAAGATGGCCCAGATTGGCATAAGCCACTCTGGCTTTCACTATACGTGCATTGATCTCATCACTCACACCCCCACCAGCACTTATGCAGCTACCCAGATACACGAACTTCTCGACTACGTCTATCTGCTCACCATCCAGGGTGAGTACAGGATTGGAATCCTGCCAGTCTTGTAGAAGTACTTTGCACTTCGAAGGTGCAAAGCACATTCCATACCTACGGACACTGATTGCCAACTGATTAAGTGCAGATTGCATGCCTTGGTCAGAAGAGTTGGCCGAGTCATGTACGAAGTTGAGGTAGGCAGTGACAGGTGGCAACGCCATCGGAATCATTTACTCAAACGGTTAGCCCCAGACCGTCCATCAACAGAAGCAAATATTCCTCTTGACATCCTGCTAGACACATTCAACTTACCGGCAACCCCACCACAAGAAAAAACCCAACAACAAGCTGAAACACGTCCTCGACGGTGGCCTATCCGAGAACGGCGAGCAACAGTCTTGGATGGAGGTTGACCCCGGGAAAGCCCGCTATTAAAAAGGGGAGGAGTGTTGGGGACGATATATCCCCAAAACTCATATTTTTTAATTTTATCTTATCGATCAACTTATTAATTAAATGTTTAAACATTTGTATTGGGGTCAATTGATAAACCTATCGATTAAATGTGCAAATAGGTCAATTGATTAACTCATTGAACAATGTTTAAAAATTTTCTATGACAATATCGATTGTAAATATTTGTATAAATACGCTTGATTTGTGTGCTTGCCTTGACTTGTTATCTGCTGTTTGCCTGTAGAATACACTTTCTACACCTTACCGAGACTTCTTGATCGAGTTAGCACGACCGAGGACAGCGAACCAGAATAGCTATCGAGTCGCTGAATCACTGATTCTTCGTTCCGTTCGAGTAAGACGAATCAGTAATAGCGTTCAAGCATAACGAGCCATAACAAGTTATACCTTCCTTTCTATTAAGCACCGTAATATTAAACATTATTTGAAAAGCTCCACAGAATCTTTTCTTTATGGTTAGAAAAGCCTTTCTGAATTATCTGAATATTTGTAATATCGATTTGATGGTTGTTGAAAATAACATGCACTGGTATTGTCGATCTGACTTGTAGGTTTTCTTGCTTTACTGAATTATTAGGTCTCGTTGTGTAGCTTAAGTGTTCCTTTGCACGGGCCGAGATTTCACGAGAAGACTCCAATATAGGATGGGTCACAGTCTACACAATCTTGTTTGTAGACGCGATTTTGTGTAAACATGAAAGGGATTCTTTTCTTTATTGATTTTAAAAGATTTTGAAGTGTTTTTTCTTTACTGAGGGATTTTGTTCTCTGTAGTTTCGGGAAAAATCACAATCCTTCTGTTGTGCCATGACTGTAAGGTAAAATTACTATGCCAATCCATAACATTTCATCCGAATAGATTTTAACAATATATCCTTCTGTTTTACAAATACACATAATAATGTCACACAGAATTGCATTGACTGAAGTGACATAACATTAACTTGATCAAATTTACTTTTGTTGTACTAAGTATTCTGCGTTATTGCTCTTTAATATTTGAAATCGTGTTAAGTCAGTGATTTATTTATTCACTGAAAAAAACGACACAATAAGTTTCGAAACGTGAAAAATTCAATTTTCCACTCATTGGGGTTTTGCAGATATATCGCTTTACCAGTTTAAACTATCATGTCAAACTTGAAAAGTCATTATGAATGTTTTTCTTGTATCGAATTCTTCTCAACACTAATAAAAGTGGTGAGGAATACATTCGGAACTGCATTTAGGTTAGTAGAAACTGTTTATAAATTTAAAAAAAAGGTCATTGGAAATATTCTATATCATTAAATTTTAAATTATAAACATTTTACTGTAAGAGTGAACATTAATTGTTTAATTATTTATTGTACAATAGTATTGATGGCAAGGCTTAGATTAGTATCGAGACGTTAAAAATTAATTCCATCAAATCAGATCTATATTGTTAAAAAAAGTCTTACTCGTCGGAATAAATCTTCGATACATTCACATGAGCTGCCGTTCGCTATCTAAAACGAAAATAAATATTTGGAAACACTGTCTTCATTATCTATAGAAGTACTTTAAATTTTTGGTAAAATATTGAAACGAAATACCTCTTAATTTAATTAATTTGAAAATATTGAACATTGACTTACTTTTTCGACTTTATCTATGAAAAGGGTCAAAAAAACAATCATTAGTTCAGTAAAAGATTGTATCGACTTTTCTTAGTCTTGATAATACAATAAGAAGACGAAGGTTATCAGAATTATGTGATATATTTGCGTGATACATTTCGAACAATCCGATCACACATACACTTGTTAAGACATTTTTATATGAAAACTAAAAGATCAACTAGACAGGTTAAAGGTAAGCCGTAGCAAAAATAACTTTCATCTTCTAATAGCATTATCGAAATTTATCAAAAGGACTAATTGTTTTAAATTTCTGAAAAGAAGACTCCTTACACAAATTACTAAAAGGTTAGATGAACTTGTTAACCTCAAGTGCAAAAATATATCGGGACGAGTGAAACTCGATTTTCATAAATTTTGTTTGTCAAATCATTAATACCGAATCAGTTATGTAGGAATCTTCGTTCAAGTAAGTTAAAACCAAGTATTCCAAATTTTACTTAATTACTAAAAGTCAGTTACAGGAGAATGACAAACGAAATTGTGACAAGAAATCCATCACATCACAAACTGTCCAAACAAATTAACATATATATATATATATATATATATATATATATAAGAAGGGAAAAAGAAGTGTTTACTGCCAGGATCTTTACGTTTCACGTTCAAATTAATTCCACTGGTAATGACAAAAGAACTATAACTTATATCACATAGGAGCAATTTGTTCGCCCCGTTAGCAGTTTTTAGACTGATAGATTAAGCGTTACCTTATTAGTCAGAGTACTGAGTAACTGACTATGACTGTCATTTCTAAGTTTAAATCTATCTTGTGTATCGTTTGTCATTACTTTCTTAATTTGTCTTAACATCGTAAATCTGTCTTAGTTGCATCATCAATAATCTTTAATCAAACCAAACTTTTCAGTGCTCTGTTTCCCCATTTTCTTAATTGTGAACTAAACTATGGGTGAAAATTTTGTAAACTGATTGATTTTGTTTTGAAAATCAATAATGCAAATGATCATAGCTAACTCTGATTGGTCTAAATAAATTCTTGTATCACCAATACTCACTCAGAATATTAGAAAAACTAGCCCTGTTTACTTTGTATTATTGAACATAAACGTACATGATTGTTTAAATCTGATGCAAGACCGAAATGCAACAGAAATAATAAATTTCAACCTATACATAGTTAGGTCATTTATGTTACAAAACTTAGTAGCGGGTATATAAAAAATTAACTGTAACTTATGGACGGTAAGATATTTTAACAACTAATGAGTTTAATGAAAGATTAGGATTCTGTTTATTCACTCATTTCCAACAAACTTTTCAGTGTAAAGTAGTTTCTTCTTAGTATCTCTGTGTATAACTTATGTTCTCTTTCTTATGTGTCTTAAAGGATCACCGATCTCAAGTATTTTATACCATTGAATTAATTATTTTAATATTTGCTTCTTTTCCAATATAATCTATTACATACAAGGGCCACATTTTTAATGTTAACTATTTCCCATAGAGATTTCATAGCTCTGAGATTTTCGTAGCACGATATTTCAGCCTTTAAGGTAGCCTCAAATTCTATTTTATTTTGGATAAATTATCGATGCTTTTCATAGCTAGAAGAATTTCGTTTCCATATTATCTGGCAATCACATTCTGTCTTATACTAGTTGTAATGACTAACTTTTGAGGTGATCTTCAAGTAACAGTTTGATGAACCATATAAGTTTCCATAAGTTTGTGTATAAACGTTTAGAAACTAAACTATTCTGGAGAAAATTGTTATTTTAGTGATTTTATTTAAACTTTTAATGTTTACTATTCATTTAGTATGACTTTATCGTTTAGATATGTAACTGTCACTGTATTTAATACTTGATAATTAGATTGGATGACATTTTAAAGTCACTTAGAATGTATCAGTTAATAGTAATTTACATGCTGAAATAAAGTAATTCTCGTAAGAGCTTGAAATTGCATACTATTATCAACTGATCAACTGTACTAAAATAAAGAGATTCTGTGTTTGACTAAAAAATCACTTAGAAATACATTTTCCTGACTTCTTGTCAACCAGTTGAAAGCTCTATATTAATCACATATGGTTAATAACCTTCTATTGACGACTAAATTTTGTCTGAGGGTTTTAATTAGAATTGGTCTGTAGTTTAGCTTATATTAGTTTGCGAATAAAACTATTCTAAATATTTTTTCAATGGAAAGTCAACAATTGACTTGTGCATAGTATAGTGAACCAGTGGTAACCAACGTAATCCTTTAGTTCGAATTGCTGAGTTAAGAGTGATATCAATATAGCACATGGTATTGTGATCTTGGTGTTTCAGCAGGGATCCTAAATGAGACCTAACTGATCATGATTACCAGCTTAATCAACTGATGTCCGGGAAATTTTTTAAAAGTCAAAACATAAATGCAGAACTTACCAGGAGAAATTAAATCCATTTCTTCAGGTTGCTGTAAGAATAAGGGAGAAAAGAGTTTATTGTGCGTGAAATACCCTAAAATAATTTGATACACATTTTCATCTTATTCATTTGTGGGTGCAGCATAACCTCAGGAAAAAAACATTTTTAAATGTGAATATAAATTTCAAATGTGCATATGTAGCAACGATAAAGATGAAAGAATTTAATTTATTAACAAGCATCATGCAAATGTGTTTGCATATCAAATAATCGGAAAATTTGCAGATAGTTAAATGTATACTATTACACAAAAATTTCTAGGCTATATTTATATTTACAGAAGTGATGTACGCAGATGATTCCATTGAACTAATAAAAATAGGTTTAGTTTACAATGACTGAGAGTTTAGTTACTGAGGTGAGTTGAAAGCGTAAGATTTATGATCATTCAGTGAAAACGTTACTAAGTTTTGAAGTGATGAACATAGTGAGTAGATAATTTAGGAAGCAGATTTTTATGACATTGAAATGGTAGTTGGTACTAGATTAAAAAATAATTCAATCACAATGAAAAACAATAAACAAAACTGATGAAATATGCAGTTAAGAAACGTGGTCATTAGCATAGATATATTAGCATTTCTATGATAAGCATTTTAAAATGATTAGTGTAAGCTATATAACCAAGTGCGTACAGTTTAGTTTACAGGCATTGTAAATCAGTGGTTTTAAATAACTAACCATTTTAGTAGTCGAATTCAATGAGACAATATGATATAGAGAAGCATTTTTACGTTCACGAAGTGTTGATGAATAAGCAGGTTCCGAAAGATCGTCAAACAAAAAAGAAGTGTGATTATAAGTGATTGGACTAAAAATTGATCCGTTTGTTAAATGAATGAGACCGTTTTCGTCAACAAATGAATCAGAAACAGCTGAACCTAATATAGCGTCATAAACAACTTCCTGCCCTGAGGATGAATTGCGAAAAACAAAATAGCGCTGACCGACAGGAACAGAAGAAAGCACAGGAAAGACTAGGCCATCCGTAAACTCAATCCAACCATCAGGCCGAAGAACAGCTCCTGGTACAGCGTGACCCAGCAACGTATCGTAAATACGTGGGACTGCAGCATCAACACCATCATAAACAACGAAACGACCACCTGATAAGTTGCCCACTGCGATTACTCCACCACCATTTACACGGAAAAGAGAACCACCTAAGAACGATGCGTTCAAAATTTCACCGGTGGAGGAATCCAAAACCACGGGATAATTATCACTGCTGCGAGTGAGTGACATGTAGCGAGGATATAAAACATCAGGCTGAAGAAATAAATCACCGTCAGGAAGATGTATCATATTCAATTCATCTACATAAGCACCCTCAACTTGCTCACCAGTATGTCTGTCAAAAACCAAGTTCTCCTTCGTTGCAGGGTCGAAGTGAATTAAATACTGTGAGCTGTTATCAGTGGAACCTGGTGCAACGCGCCTACCGTCTGGAAAGCGAATCAACCCATCTTCACTGTACACAGCATCCTTGATATGACTACCTGTTCGTCTGTCGAAAACTAGTTTTTCACCGTTGTTTGGGTCCGTCATTATAACATATCTATCTAGTTTGGATGATGGCTCGATGGCCATGCGTCCATCTTCGAACTGAATCAAACCATTGGGATCAACCTGTGCACCCTTGATCTGTTCTCCCGTAAATCGATCGTAAACTAGAAGGGTTTGGTCGTCTTCATTTGTGACTACCATGTATTTATAGCCTTCCCGAGAGGAGGGAGCTACGAGCTGTCCAGTGGCTAATTTGATCATTCCATTATGGTGGAGCGTGGCATTTACTAGTTCTGTTCCGAGGCGACGATCAAACATCACAGGGTCTCCTGTCAGGTTATCTTGGGCCACAAGGTAGCGATCCATAGTTTCTGATGCCGAGATAGCCAAACTTCCATCCGGCAAATGTATGATACCATCCTTGTCTAGGTAAGCATCTGGGATTTGTTCACCTGTCCTGCGATCGAATACTGCTGGATTCTCTTCGCCCTCAGTCAATCCGACCACCATGTAATTTGCGCTTGTGTTTGAGCTGGGTGCAACCAGATTTCCATCGGGTAGCTTGACGAGACCATTGTCCAAAACAACTGCTCCGTCAATTTTCTGGCCTGATTTGGTGTCGACTACGAATGTGGTATTATCGTTTGTCTCCTGTAGGACAATGTACCTTTGTTTTACTTGGTTCTGATCTAGATGCAATTTACCATCGGGAAGAATTATGAAACCTCGTGAGTCTACTGAGGCACCCTCGACTTGTTCACCAGTATGTCTGTCAAAAACCAAGTTCTCCTTCGTTGTAGGGTCGAAGTGAATTAGATACTGTGAGCTGTTATCAGTGGAACCTGGTGCAACGCGCCTACCGTCTGGAAAGCGAATCAACCCATCTTCACTGTACACAGCATCCTTGATATGACTACCTGTTCGTCTGTCGAAAACTAGTTTTTCACCGTTGTTTGGGTCCGTCATTATAACATATCTATCTAGTTTGGATGATGGCTCGATGGCCATGCGTCCATCTTCGAACTGAATCAAACCATTGGGATCAACCTGTGCACCCTTGATCTGTTCTCCCGTAAATCGATCGTAAACTAGAAGGGTTTGGTCGTCTTCATTTGTGACTACCATGTATTTATAGCCTTCCCGAGAGGAGGGAGCTACGAGCTGTCCAGTGGCTAATTTGATCATTCCATTATGGTGGAGCGTGGCATTTACTAGTTCTGTTCCGAGGCGACGATCAAACATCACAGGGTCTCCTGTCAGGTTATCTTGGGCCACAAGGTAGCGATCCATAGTTTCTGATGCCGAGATAGCCAAACTTCCATCCGGCAAATGTATGATACCATCCTTGTCTAGGTAAGCATCTGGGATTTGTTCACCTGTCCTGCGATCGAATACTGCTGGATTCTCTTCGCCCTCAGTCAATCCGACCACCATGTAATTTGCGCTTGTGTTTGAGCTGGGTGCAACCAGATTTCCATCGGGTAGCTTGACGAGACCATTGTCCAAAACAACTGCTCCGTCAATTTTCTGGCCTGATTTGGTGTCGACTACGAATGTGGTATTATCGTTTGTCTCCTGTAGGACAATGTACCTTTGTTTTACTTGGTTCTGATCTAGATGCAATTTACCATCGGGAAGAATTATGAAACCTCGTGAGTCTACTGAGGCACCCTCGACTTGTTCACCAGTATGTCTGTCAAAAACCAAGTTCTCCTTCGTTGTAGGGTCGAAGTGAATTAGATACTGTGAGCTGTTATCAGTGGAACCTGGTGCAACGCGCCTACCGTCTGGAAAGCGAATCAACCCATCTTCACTGTACACAGCATCCTTGATATGACTACCTGTTCGTCTGTCGAAAACTAGTTTTTCACCGTTGTTTGGGTCCGTCATTATAACATATCTATCTAGTTTGGATGATGGCTCGATGGCCATGCGTCCATCTTCGAACTGAATCAAACCATTGGGATCAACCTGTGCACCCTTGATCTGTTCTCCCGTAAATCGATCGTAAACTAGAAGGGTTTGGTCGTCTTCATTTGTGACTACCATGTATTTATAGCCTTCCCGAGAGGAGGGAGCTACGAGCTGTCCAGTGGCTAATTTGATCATTCCATTATGGTGGAGCGTGGCATTTACTAGTTCTGTTCCGAGGCGACGATCAAACATCACAGGGTCTCCTGTCAGGTTATCTTGGGCCACAAGGTAGCGATCCATAGTTTCTGATGCCGAGATAGCCAAACTTCCATCCGGCAAATGTATGATACCATCCTTGTCTAGGTAAGCATCTGGGATTTGTTCACCTGTCCTGCGATCGAATACTGCTGGATTCTCTTCGCCCTCAGTCAATCCGACCACCATGTAATTTGCGCTTGTGTTTGAGCTGGGTGCAACCAGATTTCCATCGGGTAGCTTGACGAGACCATTGTCCAAAACAACTGCTCCGTCAATTTTCTGGCCTGATTTGGTGTCGACTACGAATGTGGTATTATCGTTTGTCTCCTGTAGGACAATGTACCTTTGTTTTACTTGGTTCTGATCTAGATGCAATTTACCATCGGGAAGAATTATGAAACCTCGTGAGTCTACTGAGGCACCCTCGACTTGTTCACCAGTATGTCTGTCAAAAACCAAGTTCTCCTTCGTTGTAGGGTCGAAGTGAATTAGATACTGTGAGCTGTTATCAGTGGAACCTGGTGCAACGCGCCTACCGTCTGGAAAGCGAATCAACCCATCTTCACTGTACACAGCATCCTTGATATGACTACCTGTTCGTCTGTCGAAAACTAGTTTTTCACCGTTGTTTGGGTCCGTCATTATAACATATCTATCTAGTTTGGATGATGGCTCGATGGCCATGCGTCCATCTTCGAACTGAATCAAACCATTGGGATCAACCTGTGCACCCTTGATCTGTTCTCCCGTAAATCGATCGTAAACTAGAAGGGTTTGGTCGTCTTCATTTGTGACTACCATGTATTTATAGCCTTCCCGAGAGGAGGGAGCTACGAGCTGTCCAGTGGCTAATTTGATCATTCCATTATGGTGGAGCGTGGCATTTACTAGTTCTGTTCCGAGGCGACGATCAAACATCACAGGGTCTCCTGTCAGGTTATCTTGGGCCACAAGGTAGCGATCCATAGTTTCTGATGCCGAGATAGCCAAACTTCCATCCGGCAAATGTATGATACCATCCTTGTCTAGGTAAGCATCTGGGATTTGTTCACCTGTCCTGCGATCGAATACTGCTGGATTCTCTTCGCCCTCAGTCAATCCGACCACCATGTAATTTGCGCTTGTGTTTGAGCTGGGTGCAACCAGATTTCCATCGGGTAGCTTGACGAGACCATTGTCCAAAACAACTGCTCCGTCAATTTTCTGGCCTGATTTGGTGTCGACTACGAATGTGGTATTATCGTTTGTCTCCTGTAGGACAATGTACCTTTGTTTTACTTGGTTCTGATCTAGATGCAATTTACCATCGGGAAGAATTATGAAACCTCGTGAGTCTACTGAGGCACCCTCGACTTGTTCACCAGTATGTCTGTCAAAAACCAAGTTCTCCTTCGTTGTAGGGTCGAAGTGAATTAGATACTGTGAGCTGTTATCAGTGGAACCTGGTGCAACGCGCCTACCGTCTGGAAAGCGAATCAACCCATCTTCACTGTACACAGCATCCTTGATATGACTACCTGTTCGTCTGTCGAAAACTAGTTTTTCACCGTTGTTTGGGTCCGTCATTATAACATATCTATCTAGTTTGGATGATGGCTCGATGGCCATGCGTCCATCTTCGAACTGAATCAAACCATTGGGATCAACCTGTGCACCCTTGATCTGTTCTCCCGTAAATCGATCGTAAACTAGAAGGGTTTGGTCGTCTTCATTTGTGACTACCATGTATTTATAGCCTTCCCGAGAGGAGGGAGCTACGAGCTGTCCAGTGGCTAATTTGATCATTCCATTATGGTGGAGCGTGGCATTTACTAGTTCTGTTCCGAGGTGGCGGTCAAATATTGATTCTCTCTTTGTTTTGTTATTTTTCAATATGACATATCGATCCTTGTCGAGTGAAACTGTTATCGCATGTGTCGAATTGGGTAAATGTATTATTCCTTGGTCATCTACTTCTGCTCCTTCAATCATTTCTCCGCTGTAAGTTCCATAAACCTTTCTGTCACCTATTTGACTTATATTTTCAGCTATGATGAAACGTTGGTTTTCAATGAGCGGCTTCGTTGCTACAATATCTCCGTTTGGTAAAATGGCTAATTCATCTGTTAGTTTTATTGCTCCGTTTATAACGACATTTTCCTTCATATCTTGTATGTCTACTAGACCTCCTGTTCCTAGGTCTTTCATTATATATCTATATTTATATTCCGTTCTTAGTCTTATGTCAGTTTTCTCGGTCGTTACCATTTCTTTGTTGTCTGTTTCTGTTGTAATTTTCTCTTTATTCTCTTGTTTTCCACTTTCATAATCTTCGTTGTCTATTGTAATCTCCTTCTAAAATAGGAAGTATTTATTGAGAAGGGAATTAGGTATTTTTTCCTACTATTTTTCACCATTTACGGTTCATTGTGTTATTTGTTCTATTTTTCCTATTACCGTGTATTAATAATTATTTTTAGGCTTAATTTTTCATTTAAACTCAAACAGTTATCGTCATTTTATAGAATTCTCAATAAATACATGTAGAGTTGGATCATTTTGAAATCTGGAAAGCTCCATTGTTTTGTTAATGATATTTTATTATTATCTTATATCACGTTTTAGACCTTGAATAGCTGAAATGACAATGTTTTCAGTGATTGGTTTTTATCAACCTATAGTAGAAATTTCATTTTACTTTTTGATAGCGACGATCAGTCGAACACAAGACCTAGATCTAGTTTTATCTGAATTTAATCAGACTAATGTATCTGGATGTCTACAAACTTTCTAAATGGGTTTGATGTGTATTGCTGGTCGAAAGAGTACATATTTTTCCTTTGTCTAAATTCATGACCGAATTAGATTGATCTCTGTTGGAATATGGTCTCCTTGAATGAATTCGTTATGTATTATCAATAACTACAAAACTTACTTATTTGTCTAATTCATTAGCAAAACATTAACATATTAGTCTTGAACATACTAAGTTACGATAAACAATTTAATTAAATAGAAGTTACAAGTTGATCATCGGTAAATAGTTTTGCTGCATTAATATTAGATAGTACAATTTCTCCTTTGCATTTGATCAAATAATCACTTGATAAAGAGATTTTATCACCTAATCAAATCAATAGCGATTCCTATTGAAACGGAAGGCTATATTATGAAAATATCTAAAATCTAGGACTGAGGAGTTTGTGTGTTTATAAGTACTCTTCAGGTTTATAGTGTTACTTGTTCTAGTACTAAAATACACTAATTATTTAATGTAAGTCATTAACCAAGTATGTGTTAATGTACAAAACTTTGAGTCCAACCGCTTCTGTGATGGTTAGTCAGCACTGAAGAACTGTCTTAATTTAATTGGGTTAAGCAGGAATGAAATGTTGGTCTGTTGATTGAAAATCAAACTTTATAACTACTGATCTGACTACTCTACTAAAATACGCACTGTCTTTTAATTTAGTAAGTGGAAGTGACTTAGTAATTTTAAAAGTATTCAGTAAATGCTTCTAACTGTTTTCGCACTTTATGAAGTTTTAAGTAAATCCTAAACTTGTAGCGGTACCGTTAGCTGCAAGGTGTATTTGAGAAATTCTGAACACTGAAACTAAACGGTTTTTAGATTTACTATGGTATCAATATTGAATCAGTCAGTTTTTCTACAATCCACTCATTGACATTTAAGAAAGTTAATCGACATTGCATTTGATTAGATTTTATGTTATTTATATGAAATGGAATAAACAGTGGATGTTCAATTAAAGGTCGTATAAGGGAATTCGGACTCATGATTCTTACATGATTGCTAGTTTATATATATAATCCTTAATTAGACTGAGGTAAAGGTACACATTAGGTTTAAATAATGTGGTACCCAATTTGAACTATGTTTTATATTAAGACATTATTATTACATACCTAATAGTTAAAATATCACTAAAATTGAAGAAAATGAAATTTAGAAAATCCTCATTAATAAGTTGCATTTTTAAATGACATTAGACTAAATCTGATCTAAAGTACAAAACCTCCTAGGAATGAGTTTCAGAATGTGTTAATTGTTGAACAATACTATCGATTAAATATACTATGAATAGAGAAACAAATATTTTACCAAGTTCGAGTTTTAGTCGGTTGTTATTAGGGTAAGACTATAATTTATGGACGGATCAATCAGGTTTAGGATAACAGATCTTGGATTTTGGTGCGAAATTCCTTCATCCATTTGGCTAAATAGCGTTTTGGCATTTTGGCTGATGTCACTTTGTGATGAAAACCCTGACTATAATTCTTAATCCTAACCATCAACTGTAAATCATAATGCTTATTCTTTGCACAAGTTTATAACCCTCATTTGGCCCTAGTAAGCGGGTGAACATCCTCAAGATCACTTCAGTGTCGCTAAAACGTTGTCCACAAATTATAGTCTCATCGTAATTTTTGTCATTTACTTATTTTGTATCTTTTCAAAAATAAATCTGTTAAATTGAATAATGTTTTGTTTACTCACTTAAGCGATTCAACTGTAGAGGTTTCATTTTCCTCCCACCCTCCATCATCAACACAAGCTTAAGAAATTCTACTAGCTGATTTGTTTTAGAGTTTATGATGTTGATGGTGTTTGGAAAGACCGAAACAAATCTTTACAATTACAGAGACATCCTCATTAACTACAAAATCATCCACTTTAACTACAGATCTCCACTGTGTAAAAAACTTTCGGGTTTTATATTATTTGTATGCTTTATATGAATTTTTGGGAACTTACCTCTTCATCATCTTGTATTGAGCTAGTCTGTATTAAATAAACAAATAAAAACAAAACTGTTATGTTTTACATGTCAAGAAAAGAATATAATTGTATATATTTTGATGACCTTACCGTTCTGTTGTGCATGTTATCAGAACAGAACACTATTAACTTACACACGCACAGTCAAAAGATATTAATTTTTATCTATTCAATATACTAAACTGTCATTTTCATCATTGCTAATTACAAACATTAGCCAGCTAAATTTATGTATAAATAATAGTTTATGAAATATCACTATGAATCTGTTCATATACACGATTCACTACAAGATAAAGGTTTATTATATGTTAGTAATGAACTGATGATTTTTGGATTAAGTGAGTGTTAATTCTATTATAAGATAATATACAATCAAACATACAATACAGACTAAGGCTTAAACGATTCATGTCAACTTGTTGAGTTTGTCAATCATTGCTCTTGGTCTTGAAATTTTCACAAGCCATGCTAGCTTCTTGGCAGACAAAATCTCAACATGGATTCAAAAAATATGTTTATCAATCTTAGCCTTACATTCGACTTAATTTTGTTTTTCCTTCTACTTTTATCTTGGTAATTTTCTCACTGTACTATTCTGTCATGTGGCAGCTTAGACACAGTTGCATAAGACACCTATGTTGTATACGGCCAGTTGACTGAACAAGCATTGAATGGAAATTTCTCAGTAGTTGACATTTATTTTAGTCCGTTGAACAAACAGAACAATTCTTCAGTTTACTAACTTTTAATATGTATTGTTGTTCAATATAGAGGAAAATGTATGAATGTATTGAGGTGGATCAGTCACATTAGAAAGATGGAGTATATTGCGAGTTGGATGTGACTACACATGTGAACTGCTTGAGTCAAAAGGCTTCATCGAAGGATGTGAGTATAATAGATCTTAACAGTTGAATTCATGAGTCAATCTAAGCTAAACCATCAGTGAAAACCTGGAAGCACTGATCATAATCATCATGTGCTCACTTTTGACTGGTTGCCTACAGTTCTAGTGATCAATAGTCCAGTCCGTGTTGGGTAGAAACAGGTATCTACCTCAAACAGTAGAGGAATAGTTGTGCAAAATCATGGATCGATTGAAGTTACACATTAACACTATTGGATGCCGGGTCAGTAATCTAGAGGTTAAGTGTCAGCGCGCAAGACCGAAGGTCCTGTGTTTGAGTCTCGCATGCGGGATCGTGGATGCGCACTGATGAAGGGTCCCATACTAAGATTAAACGGCTGTCCAGTGCTTTCAGGTTTTCCATGGTGGTCTAGCTTTAATCGGCTCATGAATTCAACTGTTAAAATTACTACATTTTCCACAAACCCCCATTCCGATTATAAAGAATTTCCCAGTGGGACACCACAGAAAAGTGAAAAACCTTACCAGTACTTCATGACATTTAATTACTGTGTGAATGGTATATTTCTTTGTTATGAGGAAAATATCCAAATTAAAAATTAGTAATCATTAAATTTAATAATCCTTTTCACTTGATTTATTAATTGATACAAGTGGAGGTTGTAGAAGCGTATTATGACTGACCATGCAAAATTAGCTAAACTTTTAATATGATGAAACACTATAATTGTTTACACATTAATAGCCAGCTGAACAAGAAACATCTCATTCACCAGTAAACTTGTTATCAAGCTTATAAGTAGTCGTTAAATTTAAGTTTATCATCGATTTCTCGTATTTGTGCACTTCAAAACTTTTCTGAAATTTTTCTTTTCCATTTTTAATCAGTAAAATATTCAAAGTGTTTCTGTTGCTAAGACAAACTAAATCAGTCACAATTGATTGATCACTGGGTGGTGATCAGTGTCATGCTTGTCTAGTCTTTATTAGTGCAGATCGAATGCTATCGATCATGTTGCAATGTGGCCACCAGTCTAGGTGACTCGACTTGAGATTTAGATGGTGACCAATCAATTATGATTACATCTCAGTCCCACAGGAGGTTAGTCACGGCTCGGATAGCTCAGTGGTAACGTCTCTGACTGTGAAGCTGGGTGACATGAGATCGAATCCGCCAGGGAGCACCAGTTCCCTCACGATTACAGGTACACCTTGCTGACGAGTGCCAAATAGCACGAAACCCGGGTCCAGGGTTTCCTATTGACTACCTCCAACAGCCATCTAAATCACAAATTAAATCAGTTTTACTTCAAAACATTTAATAATAAATCAACCGTAGATGCAGTCATAAAGTATGTTTTCTTTTAAACACATCTGTTTTTGTAACAAAATTTCTCTTACATCTTATATATTACAAGATTTTAAAATAGGCAACAGTTGATTTATACGGAAGTCATTGAATCTAGGCCATTTACCATATCACTGATACGCGTGCGAATTCTTTATTCAATAGTCAATATTTAGTATGAATCAAAATAGGTGAAGTTACGTTCGATTTTACAGTTTTCATAGTGGTCGGCTGAAGGTCACCAGATTTAGTCTCTTTTTTTTACATCAATAACTGGATATAATGAATAAGTGGCGAGTTTTATGACTTGGTAACTAATGAATAAAGCTATAAATTTCAAAGCGATATTCATTGGATTAAAATATCAACATTCGGATTTAGGTACGATCAGCTAACAAACTTTAACAAATATGAAAAGAATCTACTTGTTTTTAATCCCATCCTTTATTCAAAATCAACAACTGTTTTAACGCACATTGACATGTTGACCAAAATTTAAACAGTGTAAAGTAAGTTTTGTGTTACAAGTCGATTTTTTATGGTTATAGAATCCTCAGTGTGATTTCTAGACTATAGGATCAAAATTAATTTGCATAGAAGAAATTTAATAATTTAACCTTTTCATTTCTTTAAGGTAGTATATCTAATATTTATTGTTGGTATTTCCAATATTTGTCAAATTTAACACTGTAAAATCTTTGTAACGAGATATTTACCTTGATAGATGTAAACATATATATATATATATATATATATATATATATATATATATATATATATATATATATATATATATATATATATATATCAATGTGACATGTTAATTACTTTTGGAGCAAGTAATTAATTATTGAAGTTTATTTTGAATCAGAAATAACGATAAATTGTAACTAGAATTAATTCAATTATCAAATTAAAAATAGTTTTAATACAAAATAATAATTTGTTGTTGTTGTTGTTGACCATTTGGTTCATTTGACATAATTAAACAGTCATTTGTTATAATTTGTAATGAATGCTATTTTTTTTATAAAAAAAATAATAGAATAATTGTATAATTAGAAAAAGAATTATCTGAAGGGATCACTAATTTATTCATTAATTAATTTATATTAACTGGCTTTAAGTTAATGAATAAGTGATTTTTTAAATGTGAAACATTGACTCTCAAACTCTTCAGTAGTTAAGTGTTTACTGATAAAATTTTGTTGTTGCTATCATTCCATTTGTATTATTAAAGCACATTTTATATTCAATTGAAGATAATCAATATTTTACAAATGGCTCTGATTCATTTTCTGGAAACATTCAGTTGAAATTGTCTGCTTTTTTTTTTACTGATTTATTTAGTAAATATCTCCTCTTTGAAATCAGTTGATTTAGTTGGGTATACTTTGAAGTTTATTTTTGTGATATGACTTTATTGTCAAATATCACATTCTTTGAATGAATGACTTTATTTAAATTAGCAGGGACAATGGCACAATACAAAGCCAATTTACTTTATTTATGTTATCTTTACAATGAGGATTCATTGAGGAATCCAAGATATTGAATCTGATCCCTTCTTTTTGAATTATAACAACTTTCTTACAATCACATTTGCTTATGGTTAACTTTGTCGAAACCTTTTATTGACTTATTTAGCACACAGCGTTATTCGAACATTAACAATTTTTCTATTTCTTTGTCAACGTGTATACTTGAATCTTACCAATTGCCTTGCCTCGCTGCGCATTGATTCAATTTAACTATAAATTCGCCTGTGTATTCGCTCTCCTCTACTCCAATTTGCTCGATGCGCTTGTAACTTTGTTATTTGTTATATCTGCTAATAAGCTGTAGTCGCCACTTCTTATCGCCTTCTGAATTCAAGTACCATTGGGGATTTACATGCTAACGGTTATCAAGGTGACTGATTAACGAAGCTAAGCCACTACAGACTATTTTGATTCAGTTATCCCTTTGTTGTTTAAGCTATTCTTATTAGTTAAACTACTATAATTCAGTTAATCGTAGTCAATTATTATTGAGCATATCATCCTACTGGAAAGGTGCTCAAAATTTATATAGTCTGAGAAAATCTTTGTGTTTTTCCTCCCATGAATTTATATGTCAATGTTACATTGATTACGATGTGTATTGCTTGCAAATGGTTCGAATAAGTAGTAGGATTGGAGAAAAAAATTTGACAATATAACTAACTAGCTTACAAGTGATAATTTGTATTCGTCGAAATGCTGTCAATCGCCTTACATTATTGATTAGGAATACATATTTCCGGTCACGTATAACTACCGTTTCCATCTAGTTCAGTCGCTGTATACAAACATATATATAGTTAGTACGCTACACTTAATGGACATGTAATGGATAAGGTTAACAGTGTTTAATAAATTTATTACAAATAATGTCAGCTTAATACTTGCATGACTTATATTCAAAAAATAGGTAAACGTGGCAGTTGTTGATCGATAGTTAAAGTTGTATTTGTAAATGTAATAAAACTAATTTTGACAATGTAGTTTTTAATAAATATCTCTGTATTATTCTAACGAATGAAAATCTCTTAGTAAATGCAAGATGTTAATTATTTACTTCATAGTATATATATAGATTTATTAACTCCAAAGATCATATTTTTTATGAGTTGAAATTAGCTGGAAATTCATCTTCCTATCACATTAAAAGTGCCACACCCAACAATGTTACGATATATATACAGGATACGCTTTATGAATTTACCAAAAAATATGCTCCCTTGAGAACTTACAATTAATATATTTCCGAATTCGGGATCATATTTAAAACGATCTGCATCACCACTTCCTTCATAATTCTAAAATAGATGGCGAAATGATGATTGAAATTTAATAACCAATACTAATCAATACTAAAATTTTCACAATTAATTATGTATTTATGTAGAGTAATAAAAATAATATTAAATTTTTTCAATATTTCATAAACAGTTTCATTTTCATTGAGTGAGTTGCACATTCGTGGTTGTATAAATATGTCTTATAAACTCCTAAATAAATAGTAATTGTTTCTAATAATAAGATAATAGTATGTTAGTAGTGTCCGAATGAATAGAATCTTGAGATGGTGGAGAAGATTTGTAGCTCAGGTGGATGATTTTGGTGGAGTTTTGTTCTATGAGCTGGTTGGTTTGGTCGTGGAGCTTTCATCGTTCTTCTGAACGACATCATCAGCACAAACTTCTATCTGAAGAACGATGAAAGCTCCACGACCAAACCATCCAGCTCAGAGAACAAAACTCCACTAGAATAGAATCTTGAATTTTCGACATTTCACAATTACGTACAAGCCGATTCTTCAGTGTAGTTCTTTATATTTCAGTGCTATGTGATTAGTTTATGTTAGTCTAATCGAACATAGATTTCTATAATTTTTTGAGTAGTTATACCCGTTGAATACAAGTCTTATAAATGACCTTATACCCATTAGACAGGTTAGTAGCTGCCTGGAATCAGTAGCTTGGTAAATTAGCTGTTGATATTTGAAGTTGATACTAGACTGAAGTCCTAATAACATTGGAACTAAGATTCAGGTACATTCAGATTATAAGTCCTAAATAGAACGAGACGAGTAAAAGATTCCACTGCTACCCACAATCTAAATATATTTCTATATAAATCATGCAAATAGCGTATTGGTTTTCGTATTATGCAATTACATGTATTGTTTCTGTGTAAGAATACATTTTTATTATCTTTTCTTATGATTAAACTGAAAAATTTAAAATTGTATTTATATATTATGTAGTAATATTGTAGCTATTTACACATAATAGAAACCATCTTTGTTTAGTTCGGTACTCACTTCACTCATCTTGTTAAAGAAGTGTTTGATTTGAGATTTGAAGTTAAACAAATTACAGCGCTAAAATATTCTTTATTCAAGTTGTATTGATGCAGTGAATTTACTTAAAATATTATTCATAGTGAGTTTTACATTAAATTAAACGTCTTAACAACGATACTTATTGGTATATGTTGGGTTACACTACTGTGTTTTCGAACGAAAATATTGTATTTCTTATACTGTTGTGTACCTTCAATTTTGTTACACTTTAGGATTTGAAATTCCTACTAACGAAAATGTCTGTAGAGTCATCGTTTACTTATTATTTGAAGGAAGTTGTAACCATACAAGTCTAATGATATTTTCCCCTAATGTGAACAACGTAACCAATTTTTACATTAAACCAAATTAAATCAATCTCATATTTTACTAATAATAGGCATTGAAATTATTCATGTAGTATCTCTGATAGACAATTAATTCACTCACTATATTACAATCAAATAATTACTCAGTAAATTACATTTAGTATAAATAGAGCATAAATTATAAAGCTAAAAATATCATATACAGACAATATTCTGACAGCAAAATGTAACCGTAAACTTATTAATCTCTATAGAACTAGTAAATATTTATAAAGAAAAACAAACAAACAAAAAAACCTTACTTCCGATTTGGTACACATATATCGGAGAGCATTTTCATCTGAATGAAAACTGAAAGCTTTTAAATAACCCTGTAAGAGAAAACACAACAATTACCAAATTGATGATTAAATGGGAATAAACAACAATTAATTAATGTATATACTTTGAACAAGTTAAATCTTAATCACATATCATATAAACATATGACTACATTTTTTAATAATATTAATGCAACAAATATTACGTTGCGATTGTTGAAAATAAAGTCGCTTAGATCTAATTATTGATTTGCTTATATAGATTTTCAATAGTAAGGTAAGTTCTATCCAGTGTAGTTGCGCTCATAAGTACAATTACAAATATTTACTACATTTACTGTATAAATCTACTAATCAAACCTCATTTTGTGGATATGACTGTAGCTTGACTTTTAAATGATGCACCGTTTCATAAAAAATTGTCGGAAATAAACAAATGTCCATTTTAAAATTAACATCATACAATCATAGTTAAGTGAATAGTTGTTTAATATATTGTAATTATTAGCCGCAACATGTAAATGTTTAGTTAAGTTCGGTTACAGAACAAGTTTATTTTGTATTCAAATGTATCCTTTTCAAATTCAAATGGACAATACATTAGTGGTTGTGTAACGGTTTGTTTATACTTCGGAACTTACCTTGAAAAGTACTCATGGTGTATAAAATAGTGAAATGCACTTTATCATAAATTTTTTGACCTATTTCCCATGAATTTTGACTTACAATTAAAAGTTCACTCTTATAAAAACATGTCCGTATACTATTTTAATTTAGATCTTAAAGTGATTGAGATAGTCAGGTCGTACACTTGATTTAAAGTAGTGTTTATTGTTTTTTCTAGATTTAAAAGTCTACACTACGATACACTCTAAAAGAGATCTAGTTTTGATAAGGAAATATTAAATAAGAGTCATTATTGATGTTAGTGTTTCGATTTCTTTGTTAGTTACCCTCTAAAACAATAGCATCAGTCTGAATCCCTCGTTAGACTAGTACAACACAGTTATACATGTGGCTTCCATATTTATTTACCTATAAATGAATTATGATTACAAAACCTACACTCTTTTAAAAAGGAAGATTTGTTTCTACTGCGTAGTAAATTAAAATTTGAAGTAAAAACAAATAAAGGAAATTAAACAAAAACTATAATGATTTGGGTAATTTACCTCAAAATATTCAGATGCATTCTTTAAGCCACTATTAAGTGCATAAAATGTTGCACCTTTACGGAATAATGGTTCACCTAGTAAACCTTGAATTGGATAGAAATGATAAGCGATCCTTTGAGTTTCTTCACATGATGTATAGAAGTCAATCTTTAATGGGATGGATGTGTGCACAGGAAGGAACGAAAAGAAAAGAAATGGAATGAAACTAAAGTTAAAATTAATTACAAATCGATAAAAAACATTACTATGTACACAACCATAATACTAGAAACCATAGATAAATAAATTGATTTAAGTGACGATTACCTCCAGCAGTAGTCTGTTCGGATTTACAGGCCGGTAATACTAAATGTTTACAAATCACTGTATAAAATATTTCATGACTTTTGGATTAGTTTATCTAATGGCTTGATTGCTTTATAAAACCCTACCTCCAAACTTATGCTTGTTTGAAAATTAAATTTGAGTTGAACAACGAACGATGTAAATAGTTATCAAATTCTTAATTGATATGTTTGTGTCGCAGTGAAAACAGTGTACAAAACTGATACTGATACACAAACTTCCGATACGTAGACCGTCAACTAGCTATCGAGTAAGAAGACCAAGAATGAAGAAGAAAGTTTACTGGACTAGACCAAATCAAGTGCATAAGCACTTATTTTACGTCTACTCCATAGAAAATGAAATCATTTCTTAGCCAATAACATGTACTTGTTATTAGGAGGTTTTTTTGATTGGTATAACACGGGCATCTTATTTAACGAGTTTTGATTTGTCCACTATATCAATCATAAATACAATCGTATTATATTTTTCTGTTAATGTAAAGCCAGCTGTACCAGTCGTTCAACATGCAATGTCTTTAAGTCAGTCGATAATGAATTTTTGATTAAATATCTCAATGAACCTTTCAAGTTTTTGTGAAATTTTGTTCTTGGAGCTGAAGTTTATACTGATGATGTTTTCCGGAAAAACAATAAAAGCTTTACATTTAAACCATCTAGCTTGGAGGATGCAACTTCAACAAAACCATCCAACTGAGCTGCAAATCATCTCTATTAAGTATTCGATCAACTCATCAACACTTGATACTTCATCAAAGCAAAAGTATAACTCAATATCATTGACAAGATGAAAACAACCTTTTGAAATTAGAATCTTTTGTGTGCATATAATGTACAATGAATTATTATGTAGTTATTCTGGATTCATTGATCCTAGGTAATCACGAATCTATGATTTGGCTCACTTCTCTTATAAAGGCTGTTCATAATAATCATGTTTTTTTTTAAAAGTGTAGTATTGATGAGATATTTTGGATTGTGACTAGCAACTGAATTCATGACTAGTGTTTCGTTCTATCAAGAACTCATCAGCTGGATTTACTTCAATATCAGCGACGATGTTGCAAATATTTCTAATTACAAAACATAATAGTCTGTAATTGTTACTTCATAATTTGCAGTAGTTTAAAGCAGGTCTTTTATAACTATAGTAAATTCATCATTGTGTTTCACCTTTTTTTACCCATCTAAAACAGATTGTAGTGAAATGAAATGAAACATTTATTTGTATTTAGAAACAATTTTCACAGCTAAAGTATGCAAAATGTTAAAATGTATTAGTCAGTAAATTTGGATTCAGAGAAACATAATTTTTAATATTTAACAAGAACTTCATGACTTACATAAGAAAGCAAAGTTATTGTTAAAATAAAAACAAACAAATGAACAAACATATTCTTTAACACAGATATGGTATTCTGTTGATTACTTTATAAAGTCTTTATGATTAATTGTATTCTATAGTTATTTTTACTAGTTATATATTACTTCATATGAATAAACTACAGATTCATCAGTGTTTTCCTTTAATTCATAATATTAACTACATAGTTTATGTTGCATATTTCAATTTTACTCGAAATGATTTTTTGTTTAAGTTTAGTTTGACTTAAGCACAGACTAACTTGAAATATAGTAAATAACATCAAATATTCCAGTTAGAATTTCAACATTATAATGCTCTTTACGTTTAAAAGTTTTCAACTTTATCATACATAATTCTTGTTTCGTCATTTAATTTTGAATGATTCTTTGGAATTTTTTATAACTTTGATTTGATTTCATAATACAAAAATAAAATAGACAATTAATAGTAGCAGTAAACAAATTTCGAATATTATAAATAAAATAAAGAGCAATAATTTTTACTGATATATATGCCAAACAAGTTGAACACACAACAAAATTTGACGTAAACTAACTTGATCTGGTTTAATTAATATTCCCAAATGCCAATAATCATCATTCCATGGAATGGAGAATTCCACTTCTTTTAAATTACCATTAAATGATAGTGGATTATACGTAAAAATTATCTGATAGGTAGTGTACTGTACATAAAACAAAAGGTAAATAAAATCAATGATATAGAAATAAATAAACAAACTATACTAAAGAAACAGAAGAAAATATGTGGTGTGGTGTAAAATGTGAAAAAGAAAACAACACATTTATACACAGTATTTAAATGACTCATCTTTTGTCGAAAGTGTGTTTGTGTGCCCATACACACATATATGTAGTAGTATCTAATGATGTAGTATTAATACTAAATGAGAAAGAATTAAACCATTGAATGTGATTCTTTTTTGGAAACATTTCATAGACATATTAAATAATTGTTTAGTGAAAATGGTATGGAATATAGATATCTCATCCATGATATTTTCTATATTTTCATTAAAATAAATCTAAATATTATTTTTGCTGGTGGTTTTATCATGAAGCTTTTCTTATCCAGTCGGATACACCATACTTACATTTCAATGGTGAACTCAACCTTTGGATGACTAATCATTTTGGCAATACATTTCATCCATCAATGTTATGCTTACGTTATGCCTGAGTTTATTTTAGAAATTTTCAAATTCTCCTTAACTATTAAAGGAATTATTATCAGCCATTTAACTGAAAAATGTTAAAAAACTAATTCCTAGTCGATTAATTACGAGTTATTTGAAAGAAAAAGTGTTCATGCATAAATGGGGACTAATGCATAGTTGAAAGTAGTTGATTGCATAAATTATAGAATTTATAATGTTTGTCAGCGATTTATGTCTGTAAATCACGATGTGATGGGATATGTGATTTGATAGCAATTTTCATAATAAATAATAAAAATTATTTATTCTTATCTTTATGATCTACAAAATGAACGTGCAGCAGAGTTTTAAATAAATGTTTTAAGACACCAAACTTAATGATTTGGTTGTATTGTTCGAATTACAAAAGTGAGTAGAATGAATAAAATTTCAAGCAATTCTTCTAAAAATGTTTCACAATTAGTAAAAAACAAACTGTTCTGGAATAATAATTACTCTTGGTGTAGACAATGACAGTGCGAAAGAACGATGAGAACAACCGGGACATAACAAATTGCTTTATCCACTAATGTTCCTAATGCAAATAACGAATAATCAGTTAATATTTTATCATACGGTTAACAATGAGACAGACGTATACCTAGTCTTTGAGTTAGACATACTAATCGTTCTGTTCAACCTCTATAGTTTTTTTCCACTAACTGCCACTCAAATTAACAATAAAGATTCAGGAACAAACTAGGAAAACGCAAAGATGTTATCCTGATTGCTTTTAATTTGTCAAGGATTAAAAAAATCAGGAAATTTATGGAAAGTTAAAGTCTGTTTATCGGGGTTAACTCAATAAAAGTAACATTGTTTTAAGTGAGTCAAGCTTTTTAGTTAGTGCTGTGAACATTATAAAATTAGGATATCCATTGATTTCTTATGTCAACAGACCCATTGAATGTGAACAGTATCTTATTTCTTCCAGTCATCGATTAACTGTCCAGATGATTGTCGATGTCATAAATCTAGGAAAACTATCTGTTTACACAATTCCGATGAAATGTGAAACAACTAAATAGCTGATCAGTTTGACTTTTGAAGGTTTTTGATAATGTTTTGACCAGTGGAACTAGAGAACAAACATGTAAGATTTCAATATTGGGAGGTTTAATGGAGGAAATAAGAACGACGCATATTACATTTTAAAGAAAAAGCTTCTCATAACTTCAGGTCGTGCATTTATTGAACAGATTAGGTACGTCTGACCTACTGAAAATTGGTTTATATTAATACAACAGCTTCTGTTCAAATAGTTGATCTATACTTAAATTATTTTAAAAACTTTGAATCGCTAATGTATATTTTGACAGAGAAGCAAATTATATTAAAATGATTCAGTACAAATAGTTTGGTAGTAAAAATACTTAGGTTATCTTTAGAATGGTACATAACATGGTAGTGATTTCATACCGTTATATACTTTATAAAATAAAAAAAGTGGTGGAAATGCCTGATTTTAATTACAAAAGTAATAAAATATTACGCGATTGATTTACAAGGGCGACAAATTTGATGCAAATTTAGTCTAAAAAAGCGAAATATAGTCACTAATCAATGGAAAATAAAGGTCTTAATAATTCTTAGATATATATTTGCTCATTAATGTTCATCAATACAAGTTTTTTTCTAAAAAAATTTTTAAACACTAAATTATCACGAAAAATTAACATTTTGATATTGAATGTATAACAGTAAAGAAAAACGAGTCGGTCACAGTTTTTAATTAGGAAGAATAAATTTGAATGCGCACTGCTGAGGAGTCCCACAATAGGTCGAAACGCAGGTCCAGTGCTTCCAAATTTTCCATGGTGGCTTGGCTTCAACTGACTCATGATCTTAACCGTTAAAATTACTATAATATCCACAAAACCCATCTGATATTAATCAACATATGCTCACTAGTGACTAGCTTCAAGAGGTATATCCTGGAGTTCTAGTGAGAAGTAGTGACCAGCTTCAACTGACTCATGATCTTAAACATTGAAAACAAATTCTGTTGATCAGTCGATTTGTTTTATCTCTTGATAAACTGATGAGAGAAATAGGGTATGAGTAATAAGCAAATGCAAAAATACTTTGTCGAACATGATAGACTATATTCATAATATGAGTGGATAAAATTCTTGATTGGTTTCGAATTTGTAATAATTATGTCATTCATAATCTGCAATTATTGGTTAAATTCATTTTAAGCATTGATGGATCGTGGCTATCAGTAGAATTCCGTACTCACGTTTCGTCTTATTTGGGACTCGTCACCTGGGTTTACCTGAATTTCAGAGTTAATATTCACTTTGGGACTCAAACTTAGTGGAATTCATTTCAAATGCCATCGCATTATCTACATAGCTACTGAGTCCAGATATCTACTGGATTGTGCAGTTGGGTGAATTTTAATTTTAATTCTTGGATTCAACTGATAGTCACCATCCATCTCTGCTTAAAATGCCTTTGATTTACTGATAACATGGAGACAGTTTGCACAAGATGCATATATGTTAAAAAAGATACTGATCAATTACAGATCTAAACATCATTAGTAAGATTCAAACGACCAATTAAAATATTCGTTACATTGTATTATGTGATTTATTGCTTACAATTAGTAACCAATATGTGTACTCATAAGCCAAGTTTAAAAGGGTTAACTGTTTATCATTTTGATCTACAAGATAGTATAATTTTTTTCAGTTTTGTAACTAAATTGTAAAGTGATATAACATACATGGTTACTATTTTGTTTCAAATATATTTATACAAATAAACTTTATTTCCGATTGGACTAGTTTTGACAAATCTTATGTAAGGTATGTTAGGTTTGACAGGATATCATTTGCTTACATTTGAACATTTATTTAATAAAAATAAGCAGGGAAACCAGAAAACTTGTTTCATTTCTTAAAATATCCTTCTTTTTTTGACAAAAAAAATAAAGACATTTTTGTCACCTAAATCAAATATAAAAAGAGAATATTTATAATCAGGAATTAAAATAAACAACCATAATTGCATTCAAAAGAAAGCATATATTAAAAGCACATGATGAAAATCTGTGAAATAAAAATGATATCAAACCTAAGTATATCCAATTTTTATTTTCATTCATTCTATAAATGCCTTGGTACGGCTGAGGGTGGGAGGAGTCAGCTCTCCCTCTGGAAACGCTCTCACATGACCACGTGTATACAGCCAATGCCAGGGAAGTTCTACTCACTTTCTTTTCGTGGTGCGGATTTATTTACGATATTGAGAGGAAGAAAAGCAAATGTCTGGCTCTTTAACTGGGTTGGTGGACATGGAGAGTCTACCTAGGGGAGTTTGCAAACCCTAATCCCAAAACAATGGTGCACATGTCTCCAGTATCCTGAAGGAACAAATGGCGTATGAACCAATCGCTGGTCACCGCCTACCATGAGACTGCACCCCCTGACGTTTCTTCACTGCCTTGTGGATCAGATCTTTAGGTCAAAGGCTCCGGGCGTGATCTCTTAAAAAAATCACCTGCTTCTATCTGGGCACCCGAGAAGTATTATAGCTCAAACTCAAACCAAGTGACTTGTATGGCGCATATGTATTCGGTGCTCCTTTGTATAAATATTTATGTGTTCAAATAAATAAATAATTTATATTCAACGTAAACTAAGCTTTCCCTATATGGTCATTTGAATTAATTTCAGATAATAGTTATTAAAACTAGATTTTACATAAAAGCTATAAGACACTTCTTTGTGTTTAAAGATAGATATTTTAATAGAAACATCTGAAAACATGTAAATAAGAACATTGTTTTATTTTGTTTGATAAAGTTATAGCGAAAATTATTATCAATGGATATTTGAGATTTCATACGTTTTCCATTTATAAAATTGAGTAAAGAAAAAACAAATATGGTAGTAGATGTTGATACAAGTTTTCAAACTCAGTTTCTGTATCAGTTATGTTAGTGTATTTTCTTGGAATATAACATTAGGATCGTAATTAAACTAACTCAGTCTCAATTCGACTCAAGCTAATCCTTGACAAATTACAAATAAATTTTCCAGGGTTTTCTAGAATATCTTCGATTAATTATTCTTTAACAAGGCTTTTTATTGATTTCTTTTTAAAGTTTCTGCCCAATTTTGTCTGAACTTCTTGCAGGAAATTGATCATTTTCATATGATATTTGGTCCCTCAACTTGGCTACGATTTTGTTCTTTCTTAATTCAGGGTTACCTGAGAGAGAGTGAGTTCACTTCCTAGATTAAGTTTCAAAATATACTTTAAAAAAATTTCTCAAGATGAAAGTAGATAGATGAGACCATTACTTTATTCTTACATTCTTTCGTTGGCAATAATTAAACAATTACAAAAAAATGCAACTGTGTAAGATCAGAATAAAATATTTATGAATAAGAATGGTTTGATATATTATAAAATGTTTGAGTAATTTGACATAATATTTTTCTTAAATAAAGTGT